AAGAGCTAGAGCCTCCAAATTTTGTATTTAGTGTTATGTATATTTTATGCAATTTTGATTTTTGTTGGATTTTGGATACCGGCTCCAAATTCCCCCAAATTCTTAGAATTTAAGTTTAGTTGGAACTAGGGCCATTATGTGAAGGCGTTTGCATCTCAACCAAGCCAATAGGATATGTAGATCATATGCTGAAAATTTCATTAAAATCCATTAAGTAAAACAGAAGTTATTAAACAAAACGTTTGGCCAATTTGCAAAAGCACATGTCAGCAGCGCCACGCGCACGCATTTTTCCTATGCGTGTGCACACATACATTCAAATGCGTGTATACTTTTCTATTCCAAGAATTGAAATTGCGATTGAATTGTGCTGAATTATTAGCTGCTACTTATGTTCAAATTTGCAACAGCTCGCGTAAGAAGGGCAGTGGCTGCGTTGGTAGAGGCACCTCTCGGATGCAGCTTGGTCCGGGTTCGAGACCAGAGGAGATGAAATGTTTTTTATTGTTTTATATTATTTATTTATTTTTTTTTTTTAGTTATGAAGTGGCGGTGTTGGTAGAGTTTGTGCACGTTGCGCAAATAATCCGGGTTCGAATCCTGGTCTCGCAATGTCGATTTTTATTTGTTTTCTTTTTTTTTTAATACTCGATACAAACTACGGAAAATATTACAAAACTCAAAGGACTGGGATCAGGGTATCTCCTAGTCGGGCACCCCGACTAGAGCTTTCTTACTTGTTCATTATCTTCTCAATTGCCTAAGTCTAGCTAGGGAAAGCCTTTGTCTGATTTGGCTCTGGCAGTCACATTTCGTTTTTCTTGCTGCTCATCTTTATGAAGTCTGCTTATAATGGTCCAATGGCTTAGTGAAAATGTTTGTAACATTCAGAAGGAGGCATGCCAGACCCCATAGAGCGTATCTATTTCCCGTCTGTCTGTTTGTCTGTGCGCTCGTCCATCCGTTCGTGTGCCCGCAGGGAACTTGTGAGCCACGAAAGGTATAAGAAAGGTTAAGAAATTTGTAAGATGCATTTGGAGCTTGTAATATTTTTTCTATTACTCATACCATTTATCTTTTATCGATAAAAATCGATCATTGAACTTCGTTCTTATGCGTATCTTGAATACCATAAAAGATGGAAACATTCAGTTCACTGTGGGGGTTCCTGTAATGAAGACTCAATAAATTTTCTCTATATATTTTCTCTATGTATTTTCTCTATATATTTTTTATACCCTGATCCCATTAAAAATGGGAAATCAGGGTATAATGGTTTTGTGCAAATGTATGTAACAGGCAGAAGGAGGCGTGGCAGACCCCATAAAGTATATATATTCTTGATCAGGATGACAAGCCGAGTCGATTGAGCCCTGTCCGTCTGTCTGTCCGTCCGTCTGTCCGTCTGTCCGTCTGTCCGTCCGTCCGTCTGTCCGGTTGTCCGTATGTGTGAACGCGTGGATCTCAGCATCTATAAGAGCTAGAGACTTGAAATTTTTTTTGTAGGTCCGTGTATAGCACGCGCAGGTCAAGTTTGTTTCAAATATTCGATAACTATTCGCATTTAATTGTTATCGAATAAAAACATTATTGAAATGTAGTAAATAATAATAATAATCCAAATTTTGTATTTAGTCTTATGTATATTTTATGCAATTTTGATTTTTGTTGGATTTTGGATACCGGCTCCAAATTCCCCCAAATTCTTAGAATTCAAGTTTAGTTGGAACTAGGGCCATTATGTGAAGACGTTTGCATCTCAACCAAGCCAATAGGATATGTAGATCATATGCTGAAAATTTCATTAAAATCCATTAAGTAAAACAGAAGTTATTAAACAAAACGTTTGGCTAATTTGCAAAAGCACATGTCAGCAGCGCCACGCGCACGCATTTTTCCTATGCGTGTGCACACATACATTCAAATGCGTGTATTCTTTTCTATTCCAAGAATTGAAATTGCGATTGAATTGTGCTGAATTATTAGCTGCTACTTATGTTCAAATTTGCAACGTGTAACGTAAGAAGGGCAGTGGCTGCGTTAGTAGAGGCGCGGCTCGTATGCAGATTGGTCCCGGTTCGAGACCAGTGGGGACGAACAATTTTTTATTGTTTTATTTTTTTTTTAATTATGAAGTGGCGGTGTTGGTAGAGTTTGTGCACGTTGCGCAAATAATCCGGGTTCGAAACCTGGTCTCACAATGTCGATTTTTATTTGTTTTCTTTTCTTTTAATACTCGATAAGGAAAATATTAAAAAACTCAAAGGACTGGGATCAGGGTATCTCCTAGTCAGGCACCCCGACTAGAGCTTTCTTACTTGTTTCTCTATATATTTTCTCTATATAATTTTCTCTATATATTTTCTCAATAAATTTTCTCTATATATTTTCTCTATATATTTTCTCTATACAATTTTCTTTCTCTATATATTTTCTCTACATATTTTCTCTATATATTTTCTCTATATATTTTCTCTATATAATTTTCTCTATATATTTTCTCAATAAATTTTCTCTATATATTTTCTCAATAAATTTTCTCTATATATTTTCTCTATAAATTTTCTCTATATATTTTTTCTATATAATTTTCTCTATATATTTTCTCTATACAATTTTCTCAATAAATTTTCTCTATATATTTTCTCAATAAATTTTCTCTATATATTTTCTCTATAAATTTTCTCTATATATTTTTTCTATATAATTTTCTCTATATATTTTCTCTATACAATTTTCTCTATATATTTTCTCTATATATTTTCTCTATATAATTTTCTCTATATATTTTCTCAATAAATTTTTTCTGTATATTTTCTCTATATATTTTCTCTATACATTTTCTATATATTTCAATATTTTCATTCGTCAGCCTCCGGTCGAAGTTGCTAACTGCTGCTCGCTGCACTGCCAGCACACGAAAGACGCCTGCTGTAAATTTGAGTAACTGCGTCGATCGTGTGGGGTACAGAGTGCAGTGTCAGCAGTTTGCAATTTTGATCTAGTAAATTCTTGACTCGATATAGGCGCAGTCACGATGTTGGTCCTATTTGTCATATACATATGTAGATCGATATTAAATCCTTCAAATGTGTTCAGCTATCATACAGTTACCGCAACTCCATTGTGTGCACAAAACTCAGGAATTTTATTACAGCCGCAAGTTTACATGCCATTCATATGCGGCACATACAAAACCCCAATATAGCTCAGCTACCAGCTGCAATATTACTCAGGATCAGCTTTGTGTAAGATACTCATACGAGTGCATGCCTGCATACATGTCATACATGCGTGAATATATGCGCGTGCACATATTGAAGGCATTCATCAAAATCACCAAGGCAACTCGAAATTCATCAGGCACCGCAGCGCTCAAATATTTTGGGAAACTCGTTACAGCTACACCTACAACTATACACACTGCAATAGCCACCAGCAACAACAACAATGGAGAAAAGTCTGAGGATGCGGCATGCTGCTTAACCCTTGAGTGGTTTGCCAGGAACTTAGCTGCAGCCTTTCTGGGCGCCGGCTGCCAACGGCCGTCGCATGTGGTGTTGTTGATTACACTGTAAGGTTGTTGTTGTTGTTGTCGTGGATGATGTTGTTGCTGCTGTCGGTCGGCGGTTTTGTTGTCTGTGGCATCCACCCACAGCTTCCTGTTGTAGTTCCTATTATTGCAGTTGTTATTGTTGTATTGCTCCTGTTGCCCGCAGTATAAAGAATTTGTAAAAGTTTTTAACAATTTCTGCAGACCGCGCACTTGACGGCGACGACTTCCTGCTGCAATGTGCCTGGTGTTGATGCTTTATTTGTACACACACACACACACACACGCACACTCACAAAGGGAGACATACTTCTATAACTTTTGGCTGCCTCTTCACTGAAGCGTCAATAGTTATTTTTACAACTACAACAAAATGAAAGTCGGCTCTGTTGTTGTCGGCGACAACGGATGCGAAATACACGAATTTCGGCGTTGTTGCTTTACAACTAACACAAATTGATACACACACACACACACAGACTCTCTTGCACTGCTTGCATAGTTGTGCGCGTGTATAGCGCCCCAGGGGCTTTGACGTTTGAGAGCAGCTGAAAAGTTCCATGACGTTAGCTGCCGACTGCTCGTTACCGTTGCTGTCGCGTCGTAACATTACAGTGATTACGTTTTGTAAGCACTTACGTTTACGATTTTATTGTGAGCAGACGACGGTTTCTCTCTTTCTCACTATCACTCGCTCCCTCTGCCGTTGTTGATGTCAGCGAAACCGGCAAACAGCGTCGCAGCGTCGAAGTTTGCAATTGTGCGAATTACGTTGCACAAACTTGACGAGTGAAAATGCACAACGGGGACGTCAAGGGACACGGGTGACATTGCCAGCTAAAGCTATCTACCTGCGCAAAGTCTCCTTCTTCACCACCAAATCAAGCGGCCCACGTAATGAATCAGTCACAGTGATTAACTTTTACAGCAGCCACGAGTTACGGCTCAAAAGAGTGCCGAAAAGTCACATGTGCTCGATTGGCTGCTGTATGTGTGTGTGTGTGTGTGTGTGGCTGAGTGTGTGCAATAGTTATTGCAGGGTGGCCATTCACTGTTAAGCTTGATATACGCTGAGCAGCCAGCTTGCGCAAACCATTCCGCTGTCTTTTTGTTTGCGCAGACGGTGTAAAATATAAGGGCATCGAACATCGAGCATGGAGCATCGAGCATCTATAAGTGAACATAGTTTAACCCTTTATAGCAAATAGACAAATTAGTTTAATCCCAGAAACAAAGAGGGAATCAAGAGCAGATCACGTACTACGTACCTTATTACGACACTCATATACGAGCGGTAAGCAGTTCATTTTGAGCCTGTTCCTTAGCAAGCAGTGCAACGCCCAAAGCAATTTCTCTTATAAAAAATGCATTTGTTCGACTTAGTAAAAATATATTTATCCTGTATATTTATGTATAGAATCTTGTAAATTTTTAATTAACAAATATTGCAGCAAATTTCATCTAATAATTTATGAATAATTACATTTACGTATCTCTTAATACAAGTTTTAATTTGCTTTCAACGATGTTCGCTTCGTTGTATGTTCCATTGAGTTGGGTTAACAGTTAACAAATCTTTCAACAATTACCATATATATGCAATATACAGCAAACGAAAAATAAACATAATGAATAAACGTGTATATTACGTACATGCACTGAGTATGCTATAACCAATTTCGTTATGTACGTAGCTTTACATGATCCCACAGCCATCCCGCGGCGCTTCTCGACTGCCACGACGCTGCAGCTGCTGTGTGGGTGTGGATTGCGTGGAGGAAGGATTTGTCTGATTGCCATTGGATTTTGATTTGGATTCGATACTGGCATGACGTGTCAGACGCTGCTCCGACGATCGCTGAATGCCATTTGGCAATTGCTGACATTTTGGCACAAAATTATTGTTGCTTCCATCCAAAGCATCGTTATCTAATCCGGACGCTCCATCGACGCTCAATTCGTTGTTATCGTCTATTCCATCGTGCATCGTGGGCGCCTCGCCCAGCGATTGTATGTACTGCTCCAGCAGATAAATATGTGGCTGCAGGGTCATTACAAAGCCGCGATACATCGAGCCTCCATTGTCGAATATGCACTGGCTAAGCTGCTTGAGAGCCGCTTCAATGCGTCTGCAGGCGCCCACCGACTCGCTGCGTATGACGACATTGACAATGCGTGAAATGGAGGCCGCATCCTGCAGCAGTATGGAGAGCATCAGGGCATAGTCCGTGCAATTGGCCTCGATGAAGAGCTGCAGCAGGTAGCGCAGCTTAATCGCTAACTTGTCGTTCAGATAGCTGGACACAATATCGCTGTTATCATCCTCCGAGGTGGGCAACGAGTAGAGACGTCGATATCGAAAGTTGTCAAAGGATAACTGCGAATTGGACCGGTTTTTTATGATTGGCAGCGAGCTGGGCTGCAGTTCCTCCTCTTCCTTAATGCAAGGCTGCAGTTGCGGCGATTCCAGCTGCGCAGCAAGACTAAAGTAACCCGACTCGGACGTTTGCGATGACGATCCACCTGCTGCTCCCACCTGGCGCAACGTGCCACGTAACTGAGCAAAATCATCGCGCGCGGCTGCTGGAAACGGACTGGGCAGCTGCAGCTCTGCATGCAAAGCTTGCAAGGCTGCTGCAATATTATCCAGCCGAGCCGCTCCAGCCGACTCCTGCGATAGCCAACTGACCACATGGAAGTCCAGATAGGCGCACATGTAGCCCAGGTCCAGCAGCTTATGATGTTGCAACAGCTGTCGCGCATGCCGTTGCAGTATCAAATCAATGCAAAAGATTTCACGTTGCTGCCGCTCCTTGGTGGATCGACGACGCACGACAGTCGCTGCGCCAGCATTGCTGCCAGCGCTGGGCGCCTCACTGCGTTCCACAGATGCTGCTACGCTATGCTGCTTGTTGTCCTTGGGCAGGTTGCTGGTGACAGTGGTCGAGTAGCTGCGTTCCCTCGTCGCTATGGGCCCTAGCACTAAGTTGAAAGCATCCGCATTTGGATTCACCTGCGCTTGCGTCTGTGGCTGAGGTGGTGCAATTTTCACATTCAACACCATGGAGCAGCGCGGCGAATCAATCTCGTTGGGATCAATGGCTTTGAGGAAGCGTATTAGATCCTTGGCCAACTCCCATTTGCGTTGATTTAAGGCGATATCAAGCAACATATTCGCATGCTGTTTGCTCACAGAGGAGGGCTCCAGATTCTGTATGATGATTAAGTAGCTGGCCGCCGTTTCCAGCTGTTCCGCCTGTAGGCAGAGATGGAACAGCTCCTTCGGCTTGCCCGCCATGCTGAACAAATAGGGCCAAAGCGCAATTTCAGTCTTGCGCGCACACTGCACAATCGTCTGCAGATACACAGGAAACTCACGTATGAAGTCTAAAATGCTGGGCAACTGGGCGTCGGGTATGGGCTGCTTGCTGCTAGCCTCCTCCTCCAGCACCTCATGCAACAGCAGTTCCAAGGCATGCGGGAAGTAAGGCAGGCTACGACAGGATTGCGCAATCTCCCAGGCCGAGTAGCCCAAGTTGCGCTTGATTAACTGCCTGAGGACCTTATGCAGATACACCTGCGACTTGCGCTCCATCAGAGAAAAAGGCAGAGCAAAGTGTGAATTTGGCTCATTCGTGTACAACGTGCTCTCATTCTCCACGCCCAACACTATGACATTGTCGAAGAGTATGACGAGCGGATAGAGCTTCAGAGGAAAGCTGAGCATAATGCGCTTGGACATGAAGCTATGCAATCGCTGTGCACCGTTCTGCTCCGATCGTTGCTGTAATATGGGCAGCCAGACACGCATGCCATGGGCTCCGGAATAGAGCCAAAGACAATCCCGCATAGCGCAGTGCTCCAAATTGTGGGAGAGCCAGAAGCATTCCACACAGCTGGCCAAGCAGGTGGCTAGCAACGTATTGGGCACCTGCTGTGTGGCTTCGTCCCTCTGAATCATCAACACTCGTCCACAGACATTGACCACAATAGTCTCCGACTCCGCCTGCTGCTGCTGTGGCTTTAGCTCGTTCCGTAGATTGGTAACTGTGAGACTCACAATGCAGGCGGGATGTATGCAAATGCTCTTCACATCCAGCTCATAGGCGCAATCGATGTTGATATTGTAGGCCGACTGCCTGTGCATATGAAACAGACTGACAATGCCATCAGCTGTGAGGACAATCAACTGATCTCTGAATACATTCAAACTGATAACAGGGGCGCGCACCTGTAGCTTATGCCCAAATTGATTATCCAGCTTACATTCGGCTGGATAGCAACGCAACTCATCCGTGCGATCTAACAGAGAATAGCAGCCCATGACAATGAAGCCTTGCCACCAGAGCAAACCACCAGAGACTACGAAATCCTTCTCCTGTGACTCATTGCCAAACAGCTTCCACTTCTTGCTCAGCATCGCATAGTGTGCCAGACCAGTGCGTCCTGCTACGGCCAGATGTAAGCCGGCTGCGTCGATGGCTGCATATCGTATGGGCCAATTAGTGGCTGCGTAATTGAGCGGCAGCTGCAGCAGGGTCCAGTATTTGCTTTCTGTCAAAATGCTGCCCATGTTGGGGCTTTGCTTCAGCTCCACGCAATCATCGTTTTGTCCAGCTGTGGTACTGCTGGGGAATGTGCATTTGGCATTGCCGTAAGTCTGCTCCAGATTATCGCCCTGATTGATGTACAAGCAATCGTCGCCTTGCAGCAGGATATGCGAATGTGCGGTCATACAGGGATTCATGCTCAAAGCGCTCTTCACAAACTGCAGCTGCAGCACATTGTTCTTGCCTTCACGAGTGGTCATAAACAGCTGATAGCCTTCGGTGGACCATTCGAGACGACGCAGCTGCAAGGGATTGTGCTTAACCAAATCCACATGCAGTCCAAAATCCCAGCTTAATGTGGACATCAGCAGTGCTCCAAAAGTGCTCCACAGCGACAACCCACCATTCACCCAGCTCACGGCGAGCACACAACCATCGGGACTCCATTTCAGCTCGTTGACAGCGCCCAAACTGCCTGGAGGCACATTCTCCGTCAAAATGAGCCTGTGCGAATACTCAAGGCCAGCTGTGGCATCGTCTATGGCATACACAGCCACCGCCGAACTCTGTTGGCCGTAGGCGAGCAATCGGAACTTGTGATTGACGCTGCAAACGCTCGCATCCAAGACATCTGGTACCCAACAGCCGTGCATATGCGCAGTTTCGAATCGCAGATGATCGGCTATAAGGAATGCCGCACGTTGATCGCTGAACACAGCAGCACAGCCGCCAATGAAGGGTGAATACTCCAGACTGGCCACAAACGCTGAGTTGCCCATGGCGGGCAAATATTTAGCGGGTTGCTGCTGCTGTTGCTGCACATAGAACGGAATGTCACGTAGCTTGATCACAGCTAACGGCTTTAGATCCTCGGAAACAGTTTCGAGCTGAGACCACTGCATTCGCAGCAACTCACATGTTTCAGTAGCCAGGAGCAGCTCACTTAGGCTTATGCAGCAGACAGTGGAGATGACAACGTCCAATTTTAGGCAACGTACTTCACGTAGACTCAAGCGGGGAATGTTCTCCTTGATGAACAGTTCGGCTGAATCTCTTTTCAGACTCAATGCAGGTGGATCCACCTGCATCAATATTCCACTGCCATTGGCATCGAAGTCCAGTTGATACAACAACAAAGCGCCGGCGTCCGTTAACACGGCCAACTGTCTGGAGTCGGGCTTCCATATAATCAGTTGGTTATTGCCAAACTCCTGCAGAGATTCGACGTTGCGGCGATAGTAGGCAATGGGCAACAGAGGGTTCGCATACCAAATGCCCAAAAAATCCGAGCCAACGCCCGCGACGAGTATTTTAACAGCATCACAACTAATGTGATTTATGTGAGTCGTTTCGCCAGGGAGCGCCAGGCAGACGCGCTTTGGCCAGCCCAATGGAAAGTACATTCTCTCCAGCGAGCAAATTGCTGAAAAAGTCTTTACTACTATAATTATCAATCAATTTGAAGTTGTTAAACACTTACACTTTAGTTAATAATAAGTTACACGCCAAAATTTACATGTCTAATGACTAATTAGCACTTTAACAAAACACTTGCCATAATTTAATAAAAAAAATCACTACAATTTACGCGTATACAAATATAAGTGATGCAAAACGATAGCAGCTCAACAGCTGTGATTTAACTCGTTTTGCAACACTCCAACTGTTTCTTTGTGAACATCTATAAGGCAGCAACTTTTTAAGGCTAGTATGCTTGTGCAAATGTCATCATACTAGGTGTTGTTCGAAATTCTGCAAGCAAATACATTTAATATAAATGAAATAAAAAAAACAATTGCATACGAACATTATATTTCCAATTGCAGTTCTTAACAAAATATACATCATTATTAGCCCGTTTTGCTTGAGCATAAAACACACTTGATACTAGCTTTGCTCTTACTGTCAACCGTCAGCGTATCCTGCTAAAATGAGTACATGGTGAACATCAAATGAGTACTTGAGTGAAAATATTGTAACCGGTCAAGGCAGTGCAGAATTAAATAAAAATAGCTTTTTTATTGAATTAAAGCAATGACTGCATTTGAAGGTAAATCCGCGAAGGAGTTAACTATTTTAATATTATTTAAATATCAAAAATTATGTTATTGCAGAGTTTGGTGTGCTCCCAGAGCTGGGTAAAGCGACCGATGAATTGGACTGGACGTAAGTTTTTTGTAAATAAAACAAATTGCATTTAATTGATCTACAAATTTACTGTTCTTCATAAGCTTGCCAACTGATGTGCAGGCAGAGGCGATTCCACTTATACTCGGCGGAGGCGATGTTCTAATGGCAGCCGAAACAGGCTCCGGCAAAACCGGCGCATTTTGTTTGCCCATTCTTCAAATTGTGTGGGAAACGATTCGCGACTTGCAGTCGGGAAAGTCGAGTAAAGGGAAAAGTTCAACATCTGGAGCGGTCGCACCTTGGACAATGTCGTTTTTCGATCGTAATAATGCATTAGCTGTGACTCCGGACGGCTTGCGTTGCCAGTCGCGTGAGTTCAAGGAATGGCACGGATGTCGAGCCACCACCGGGGTCTATGGCAAAGCCAAATTCTATTACGAAGCTATAGTCACCGATGAGGGCTTGTGCCGTGTGGGATGGTCCACTCAAATGGCAAACTTAGATCTGGGTACATGTCGCTACGGGTTCGGCTTTGGCGGCACCGGCAAAAAGTCCAACAATCGTCAGTTTGATGATTATGGAGAGGCTTTCGGTAAAGCAGATGTAGTAGGTTGTTTGCTGGACCTGCAACGCCTTGAAGTAAGCTTCACCAAAAATGGCACGTCTTGTGGGGTAGCTTTCAAGATACCTGAAAATCTACGCAATGACACATTTTATCCAGCAGTTGTGCTGAAGAATGCTGAGATGCTATTTAATTTTGGCAAAACAGACTTTAAGTATCCGCCAGGCAATGGCTACGTTGCTGTATGTCAAGCAGGTTCTGACCATAGCACAGCCAATCCTCTGGCCAGCCCTGCAGCAAACTCAGCAGCTAGCAAACCGGCGCCCAACGCACCTCAAGCTATAATCATAGAGCCGAGTCGCGAGCTGGCGGAACAAACCTACAACCAGATTGAGAAATTGAAGCTTTATGTGACCAATCCCGATGTGCGTCCCCTGCTGCTTATTGGAGGCGTGCGTCTGGAGGAGCAGAAAGCGGAACTGCAAAAGGGAATACACATTGTGGTGGGAACTCCCGGTCGTCTGGAGGAGCTCATCAACAGTGGTTTCGTACAGCTCACACATTGTCGTTTCTTCGTCTTAGACGAGGCGGATGCCCTACTTAAGCAAGGTTATACAGATCTAATTGAACGTCTGCACAAACAGATACCAAAAATAACTAGCGATGGCTGTCGACTGCAGATGATCGTCTGCTCTGCCACTTTGCACGCTTTTGAGGTAAAAAAGATGGCCGAACGCTTAATGCACTTTCCCACTTGGGTAGATCTGAAGGGCGAAGATGCAGTGCCGGAGACTGTGCATCATGTGGTGTGCATGGTCGACCCGCACGTAGACAACAGTTGGCAGCAACTCCGGCAGTCTGTGCGTACTGATGGCGTACACGATCACGACAATGTCCATCCCTCTAATCCATCCCCAGAGACCATGTCACAGGCTGTGAAACTGCTCAAGGGTGAATACTGCATTCGGGCCATTGATCAACATAAAATGGACCGAGCCATAATTTTTTGCCGCACCAAACAGGACTGCGATAACTTGGAGCATTATCTCCGTCAGCGTGGTGGACAGCGCTACTCTTGTGTCTGTTTGCATGGCGATCGCAAGCCACAGGAACGCAAACAGAATCTGGAATTTTTTAAGCGCCAGCAGGTCAAGTTTCTCATATGCACGGATGTGGCTGCACGTGGACTGGACATCACGGGATTGCCATTCAGTAAGGATTCCAAAATATATATTTTCATTTGAAAGTATCTCAAGTTCCATTTCTTATCCATGCAGTGATCAATATAACGCTACCAGATGATAAATCTAACTATGTGCATCGCATCGGACGCGTGGGTCGTGCAGAGCGTATGGGCCTTGCCATCAGTCTGGTATCTACAGTGCCGGAGAAGGTTTGGTATCATGGCGAATGGTGCAAGAGTCGTGGACGCAACTGTCACAATACCAATTTAACTGATGTGCGCGGTTGTTGCATCTGGTACAATGAACCCAACCTTCTGGGCGAGGTGGAGGAGCATCTTAACATAACCATACAGCAGGTGGACAAGTCTTTGGAGGTGCCCGTTAATGATTTTGATGGCAAGGTGGTCTACGGTCAGAAGAATCTCAATAAGGGCACTGGATATGTAGATCATGTTGAGCAACTGGTACCAACGGTTCGCAAATTGACTGATTTGGAATTGCAATCACAATCTTTATTCTTGAAACGCTTAAAGGTCTAAAGTGGTTCGATTTTGGGTTGTCACACGATCCGAAATACTTTCACGGTTACGAGTACATAAAATACATAAATAAACTAACATTAAAATCTTGTGTTTAATGAGTACAGCCTCAGTATGAAGTTGTTTTATCGAAGAGTTCAAATTGGTTACTCATCATCCTCCTCCTCCTCGTCCTCTTCGTGGAATTCAGTACGCATTTGCTGGAGTTGTCGCAGCTGCTGGCAGAGCTTGTTACCAAAGGATTCCACATAGCGTGGACTAATCTTGTCAAGCAGTGCGTAGGGTGTTTCGAATATCTCTTCCTCCTCTGGCTCCGCATCAGAACCTAGTGAATTGTCCTCATCGATTGTGTCATACTGCGAGGAGACTATTTTAAATCCCCGACCAGTCACTTGAACGCAGCAGGTGGCGCTCTCTATGGTGCGAATGTTAAGATAAATCTTCGTAGCACTGCTGACCAATTTGGAAGATATTGCAATTTCGGCTACGTGCGCCTTGACATCGTTTATGATAGCATTAGCCTCGTCAATGCAATTAAACACTTCATCCCCAACCTCCTGCATATTGGCAACGTTTTTAATTGAATTCTTTACTTTTTCCCAATTTTACAAAAGCAACATGTTTTTTTCGGCTGTGTGTCTTAAAACAGCTGTATACAGAACAAAAAGTATCGACTACCAGAGAACAAATATATATCGATACGTTTTGTGTAACAAGTACTGACCGTCATTCGTTTACTTATTCTTTTAATAAGCAATATTCACTTCTCTCAATTCACTTTTATTGCTCTTATTGTCTGTTCAGAATTCTCCGCATCAGATATAAAACCTAACCATATTTGATTTTTAAGATTACGATATAATTTGCTAAATTAGTTTTTCATCGATAATTTTAAACACTTAATCGATCTGTACCTGCATGCCATCGGCATGGCTCAAACTCAAATTGAGAGAGCAATAAAGTTGCTGCTTCAGGAATCCGAAGAGCTATGCATTGGTGGACAAATAACGGAACTGCAGCAGATGCCTACTGCCTTGGAGTTTGCTCGTGACTACTATGCAAAGAACTCGCCTGTTGTCATACGTCAGGCAATATCCCATTGGCCTGCAGTGCAGAAGTGGACGCCGGATTATTTGCAGACAGCACTAAATGACAAAGTTGTAGATGTAGCTGTCACTCCCAATGGCTATGCTGACGGTTTGGCCACACAAGAGGGCACAGAGTATTTCGTGCTACCGCTAGAAACGAAAATGCCATTATCGGAGCTATTGCAGCGTCTCGATGACCCAATGGGCGCCGTGCATTACATTCAGAAGCAAAATTCCAATTTTAGTCTTGACTTTCCGGAGCTTGCTGATGATATTGTACCCAGCGATTTGGATTTTGCCCAACAGTGCTTCAATAAGCAACCAGATGCAGTCAACTTTTGGTTGGGCGACGAGCGGGCAATTACCTCCATGCACAAGGATCCTTACGAGAATCTTTACTGTGTCATTTCTGGATACAAGGATTTCATATTGTTGCCGCCGCATCAGCTATGCTGCGTACCTCGTGGTAATTACCCCACTGGCGTGTACAAGCGAAAACCCTGCGGTCAGTTTTATGTAGAACCTTTGATTGAGAACGATGCAATTCAGCATACGGAATGGATTAGTATTGATCCATTAGCTCCAGATTTGGCCAGATATCCGCAGTACGGCAAGGCGCGTCCTTTACGCGTACGTGTTCATGCGGGAGATGTGCTCTATTTGCCCAACTATTGGTTCCATCACGTGCGTCAGAGTCACAAATGCATTGCCATCAACTTCTGGTACGATATGGACTACGACAGTCGCTACTGCTACTATCGCATGATGGAACAGCTCACCACCCAAACATATGTAACTAAATAGCTAAGAATCAGTGTTCGTTCACAATCTGTAAATCCAATTTTTTGCTACTTTTGTAAGCCAATAAAATACAAAAGAAACCCTGGAGGTCTAGCGGAGTTACACTATTTGAATTTGGTCCCAAATTTCGATGGAATTCAGTTCTTTCTAGCAGCCTCAGCTAATGCGTTGCGTTACCTAACAAAATCTTTGAGTTTTAGGTGTACATATATAATTTAATACAAAATAAAATCATAGTCGAAATTTGACCGCTTTTTGCGGCTAGTAACTAATTTTGTTTGTGTATATAGGTGATGTCATATGGTATATGTACGTATGTATATATGAGTATATAATTGCATATATGCGTGTATATGGATAGGTTGGGAATGTTGTGTGGGTGGGTCCCCTAGTGATCTAATTGCTAACTAATTTAATTGATTTTAATCTAAGCTGATATTCTTAATTTCTTGAGCTGCCGCTGCACTGGCTTCCTCCTCCGGATTTTCGTTATTCTCACACTCTGTATCTCCTCCATTTAGCGTCACCTTTTTCTGATCTGCCTCGGCTAGATCGGCATCATTGTTGGAGTCCTGCGAATTCGACTGGGCACGGACGCGTTTATTGACCTGCTTTTTGGAAGCTTTCTGCTCCTTACTTTTCGTATTGGGCATGCAGCCCGTACCGGGCTGTTCTACGACAAAAAGCTGCTCTAGATATGTACGATACCAAAGCAAAAACTCATCGCGTTGCCTTGGCATTTCCATCTTCTTAATCTTTGCATAAAAGCGTTTGGGCGAAATGAGCGGCGAGACGGCATTTGGAGTCCAGCTGGCGGCAGAGTTTTGTGCCGCGTTTGCCGTCAGCTTGGAGACTTCAGCAAGCAGCGAATCATTAATAATGGTGTTGTTGTGCGTTTGGTTGCGTATGCGTTTGATTATGTACTCAATAAGCTCGTGATCAGGCGACAATTCAAGGCTGGCCGATGGAGGTGTAGTGGCCCGTTCAATGACTACCTCAATGATTTGCTTAAAAAAAAAGGCATGTACTATGAGCGGCTGGAGCAATGCATTAGCTATGGCTACTTACATCATCGTTATCCAAAGGTGCAGGACCAACGCCAGCTGCCTCTGAGTAATCCACCACTGCTGCTGCTTCTGCTGCTGCGGTTGCCACTGGCATTACCTGCACTGGCAGACTATTGTCATCTTCCTCTGGCCGATCGTTGGCGGTTTGAGCCTGCGGCGATTCAGTGCCACTCTCCGTGGCCTCTGTAGGCTCTTTTACAGCAGAATTCTCCGCTGGCTGGACACTGGGCACCTGTCCTTGGTTAAGCGTCTTGCGCAAACTATGCACTTCGTTATAAAGTTGTTGTTCGCCTAGCTGCTGTTGCAACTGTTGCTGCTGTTGTTGCTGCTGCTCAAAGAGAGTTTCTAGTCGTCTATACACATCCTCCTTGATCGACTCGTAGAACTTTGTGGTAAATTTATCATTTTTCAATGCATTTACTAACAAATTACGATTCAATTCCTCTGAAGCAGTCTCATCCGTTTGCTCTAGCATCGCATTCGATTCATCTGGCGCAACAGATTCCTGTGCTGTAACATTGTAAACAGGAGCAGCTGGCGGAGCTTGCATTGCTGGTGGCTCTGGTAGCTCATAATCCATATATTGAGCAGGCAGCTCGAAATCGAAGCGCAAATGACGCTGCTGCAGAGGTGTGAGAGACACTGCGGACGTAGTCGGCTTGGCTGGCACCTTGTTGCGCTGATACAGAGGACTATTCACATTCATGTTGAAGAAATTTGATGAGCCAGCAGCTAGCTCCTGCAGCGAAGTCTCTTCGTTACGCAGCGTAGGCATTTGACGCCGACGATTGCGACGTCTGCCACCACTGCCGCCAAACATCGAGGAATCATTATTTTCATCATCCTCCACATCCTCCTCCTCTCCATGAGCATTATTGCGCCAATCGCGATTGCTGCTGCTGCTGTTGTTCAAATTGTTGCTATTGCTGCCGTTGTGCAAATGTTGCTGTTGCTGCTGCTGCTGTTGGGGTGTTGCTTCATAAAAGTGACGATGCGTCTGAGCCTGCTGCTGTTGTTGCTGCTGCTGCTGTTGCTGAAGTAATATGCTGCTTGTAGAGCTGCGCGCAGTGTGTGGCAAATGCGTCTGAAAATAGCTTGGGCGTTGGCGCTGACGCTGTATTTGTCGATATTGATGCTCCACATTGAGTTCCTCGTTGCTTTTGTTAGATAGCAGATTCTGACGTGTATAGCTGAAAGCGCACAAATATTAATGGGTTAATAAAAGCGAGCAACAAAATCAAATGTTTTTAATGGGCAAGCCAGAATAATAACCCAATTGATTTTAGTATTGTCAACAAGTCTATTCAAATTAGCGATACTCTAAAACAATTCTAAAAACATTTTTGGTTATAGAACTTATAGAAAATAATTTTTAAGTTAGCAGTAAAGAAAATTGAATTATTTAAAAATAAGAATAGAACTTTAGTTAATAGTTAGTTTAACTCAACGTAATGATCATAAATGTTTTCTTCTTTCTACTTACTTATAGCACATATTTTTGGAAAGTTTTATTAAAAATAATAAATCAAAATTATTCGTATCTTTTTTGTCGTGGCACTTCGTTCTATATATTTGTTTTTATTACTTTGGCAAAGATTTTAAATTAACAGCTCTTTGGTTCCTAGTTCTCAGAAATCAATAGAAAATAAATAAATAACTGCCTAATCCATACGAAAGAACCCGACACCATATAAAATATATGCTTTGTACGGCGCTTTACCTTCGGAAGTTATCCCAATAGTTGTTTGCGCGATTGCCCGGTGGCACCTGATTGTTCAAAGTGGGCGGTGGAACCGCATCCTCTGGCAACGAATGCAAATTGTTCGCGTGCTGATTCTGTGTGCGCAAATTCGCATTATTTTGGTGTATGGTATTGTTATGATGATTCATGAATATGGGTCCCGGACTGGCACGATACGAGGGGGGCGAGAGTGGCGTCTCGTTGTTGTAGTGTGTTGGTGGTGGCGGCGGTGGTGGTGGTGGCGCGGCATTGTTCAAATACGTCTGCGACTGGTGCGGATCGTTGCTACTGTAGATATTGTTGCGATGAATGCTGCGCTGATAGTTACTAAAGGCGCTCTGATGCGAGGAGCCGAAATTGTAAAGTTGTTCCGACTGGGCGCGGGCGCTGGCGCCCAGGCACAGATTGTTGGGTGCCAAACCCCCAGCGATTGGCGGTACCGACTCCGAGCGCAAGCTATAGGCTTGCTCTTGGCACGATGCGTTCAAACGTTCCTGTAACTGTTTAAGTGAAAAGTAAAAGTAAGCTTTAAATATAATCAAAATAAATCGCATGCGATACACAAAGGATGATTAAAACTTTTCTCGCTTGATTTACTAAAGCTATATTCTCACCGAATGTATCTGATTGTTGAGATTATCAATTTCGCGCTGTTGATGCCACAATGTCTGGTTGCACTGACAAACCGAATTTATTAGCATCTGCTGAGTTTGCATAAACTGCTGCAACAGCACAGCGTCTGGTGTTTGATTGACACTCGAAGCCTGCGAAGAGGCAGCGACCCCCGGAGCAGCTGGACCTCCTGTTGGAGTTGCTGGCAGGTAGCCAGGCTGCGAATGCCATGTGCTGCTCGTATTATGCGTATCTATTAATAAAAGAAGAACTGTTTAATAAAAGTGAATAGTGACTAGTTGCTGGTCGATCGCTTACTCCACATGCCCTGAACAGGTGCCATAGGCGGTGGCATATACTGGGATCTAGTGCTGCTTGACGGTATACTATCATTGCCCAGCGAAAGGCTATCAATCGTCAAATTCAGATCGTCTTCATTGTTTGACATGGAGTGACCATTGGCTTGTTGCTGTTGCGATTGTTGCTTGTGATGTGATCGTCGCTGCTGCTGCTGTTGTTGTTCTTGTTGCTGCCGCTGCTGCTGTTGCTGTTGCTGTTGTTGCTGCTGCTGTTGCTGTTGCTGCTGCTGTTGCTGTTGATGCTTCTCCACAACGGTAGCAGTCGAGGGAGTTCGTTTCAATGTGGCCGAGGATGAAGTACGCATATGTCCAAAATATCTATCGCTGTCGGTGTCATCATTTCCTTCGTCATCAGCCTCAGATGTGGTATTGGTGTTGTTATTGTTGTTGCAATTGTTGTTGCTGCTGCCATTGTTGTTTATATAATGGGCTTCATACTCGCGCTGTTTTTGCTCGTATTCCTGTCGCAATTTCTCGCACTCTGCTCGCAACTCATTGCGCGCTTGCAATTGAATTTGTCGGTTGGTTTCTTCCTCCTGCTCATCGTCCAGTGGACGCTGTCTACCGGGCGTTGGAGTTAGACTGTTACGCTGCAGTGCATCATCACCCATCTGAACCGCTGCTGCAGCCTGCCTCTGGCGGCGTTCAATCTCAGCCTTCAATGCAGAAATTCGATCACGTTCCTGCTGTAAAGTGGCTGCTTCAGCGCGTAACTCAGAGCTGACGCCGTCTAATGCATGCACACGCTGTGAAATGTCCCGTGGCCGTTCCTCGTGTCGCTCAACGCTGCGTCGGTCTAATGTTTCACCAATGTCGGATGTGCCAGCCTCTATCTGGTTAACTGTATTCAACATGCTCTTTAACCTGTTCATTTGAGCTTTCAGTGCATCAATGTCCGCTGTCTTCTGCTCAATCATATTCTGAGCGTGTTGAGCACGCTGTGCGGCATTGACTGCTTCCTGTCGCAAAATAGGAACATTGCGTTGATATTCGACTGGTACAATGCGCTCATTGGTGGGTTTGGCCTGCTGTTTTGGTGGTGTTTGCTCCCTTGGGGTGTTTGCGTCATGGCTGGCAGCACGAACGGATTGCACCTGCTCTTTGGCCTTCCGATTAATGCTGGTTAGCTCGTTTACCAATTCGCGCATATCCTCTCGCTGCGTACGTAATGATTCAAGTTTCTCCTGCAGCGCCTGCTGCTCGGCCAAAATCTCTGGACCATCATCTCCCAACACGCTGCTTAGTTCGTTTTGATTATGTATAAAAGCCGTAAGATTCTTCATACGTCCTACAAGCGAGGCCATATCATCCTGAACTTGTTGTACAGATTCATAGTTTGGGGCATCACCGTTTCCGTTATGTGCCAGATGCCCTGTGTGTTGACGCAGCTGTTCCATTTCGTTTAGATGTGTTTTGGCCATGTTTTGTATTTGCAGCAACTTTTGTTGTTCATCCTGCAAGTGTTGCATATTCCGATTGGATGCATCTAGTCGCTGTTGGAGTTCATCAAAACTGGGCGTTGTATCCGGCGTTGGTGTCTCCATGGCGCTGTGCAGCGATTGAATGGACTGGGCGCGATTGTCGCTCATCTATGAAAGGATAATTATGTAGTTTGAATTCCTGTAAACAAATTGATAACTACATTACAAACCTCACTTAATGCAACATCCTCCAGGCTAGTCGAATTGACTATGCCCTCATCTTTTTCACTGCCGCTGGGATTGATTTCATGTACCATATTGCTTAAATGCTGCAATAAAGATGTTAGTTAGACTTGATAATAAATGATCATCTGCCTTGCTCACCTCAATAACAGTGCCTGCTGTCTGTTGTTGTCCGTTGCTGCTATTCCAATTCTCATCCAAGCCAAGCAATGTGCGCAATACTTCAATTTGCGAGCGAGTTGAACTCTGCGCTGATACCCCAAAAAGTCGATGAACTACAGCATGCAGAGCTGTTGGCGCCTGACAATTGATATTTGTGGTACCTGTGCTGCTGGTTATGGACTGTTGTTCCTCGTTGCCGTTGGTCGTGTTGGGTGTGACAACACCTACTGTGGCATTGGGTGTCGTGGGCTGACGTAAACGCAACGCAGCTGCCGCTACGGGTTGTGGCTGGGACTGTGGTTGTGGCTGCTGCTGATGCTGCACTCGTTGCACTGGGCGCACAGGAAAGCAATAGCGCTGATGCTGTTCCTGTAGCTGATCTGCGAAGCACACAAAATTGAATATAATTTAAAATCGTGCAATGACGCAGTCAAAACCAGCTGCCCACGGTGCGATCGATGCGAAAGGCCCTCTCCGTGGGCGTTTATTTTCGTGCGCTATGTTATATTTAGAATATGAACTAGAGCAGATTTTATGTGATCAGTAAAACTTCCACCCAGGTGCGAACAGAGATATAGATAGATAAAGATATATTTTGTCTAAGACTTGGATCTTACCTGTTGGATCGTAACTATGTTCCGCGGCCAATTGACGCAGCGCCTCGCGTTGCTCTTGCTGCTGGCTGCTGTATTGCGTTTTCGCAGTTGTTGCACGCTCCAGCAGATCCTTGAAGCAACAACAAATGAATATTAGCAACAGACTTATTATCAGAAAGACAGCAATTTTGTAGCTTTCTATAAATTTTTGTGTGCGCCGCAGGGAAGGTCGTCAGTATTACTAAAACAGCGCCGAGACTATTCGAGCATTTTGGTCGAAAGAATGAGTGTGAAAAGTATTTTTAAATGTAAGAGCACAGCCGAATTGCTGAAGACGAGAGAGCACTTCAACAAATGGACCAGCTAGCAAAATGGGCGTCATGGCAACGTAAATGAAAAAGTGTAGTCAATCAATATAAACAAGCCGGCTGCGAAATTTTCCGGTTGCTGTCCATGATAAAATATCAGACTACACGATGTGATTTTTACAGTAATACATATGTGAGACTTAGTTTCTTTTGTTTTTGTGAATGGAAACTTACGCATAGAGTTTTGCATGTACCGCGCTGCAGTCGCGCCGCAATCTCCTCTTCCTGCTCCCTCTGCTGTTGTTCCTGCTGTTGTTTAATTAGGGAAGAATTGCGAGCACGACTGCTGCTCGCTCTAGTTGTTGAGGGCGTTCTGTTTGGATTAGCCGGCAATGTTGGTCCAGCTGGGGTTGTTACTTGTTTGGGTACTGCTCCGGTGCTGCGATTTGTATCACATTCGTTTTTCATTATTACCTTTACGGGCGGTGTCGGCGCCATCAGAAAATATATACATATACAACTTGCACAGTTATAAATTACAATCTATCACTGACTGGATACGCGGCAGCTGCTATATCAGTTAGTTTTCATTAACTGTTAGCTAAATGAGACGAACACTATTCGTGTATATATATAGCCGAAACAATCACTTAAAGAATGTCAATCGCTTCTTACTATTACAATTTATACAAGCTCAAGGCGAATCAGAACATTTTTAATAAGCAAACAGCTGCGTCCTGACACCTAGTGATGTGCTATTTGCTATCGATAATTGAGAATAATAACGATTACTTTGGCGTACATTGTGAACTGAAGAAATCGATAATTGAATACAGCAAAGTATACAAGGCGCACTTAATAATAGTTTAAATAATTTAAATCTAATAAAAAATCATTTCCAATTTATAAGACAATCATGAAATATGAATAAGCGAGTAAATCGAGTCAATGTAATTATATATTAACAACCAAATTGATCTAAGTTGAATACTTTTTATTTCATATATGTATATATAAGTTATTCAGCAAATGAGTAGTTTTTATATTAAATAAGTATTGTGCTATTTGCCTTGTTTGCGCTGTATAATTTCCTCCTTCAAAGTTTTTATACGCAAACGCTCCGCACGCAAACTTTCCTCTTGACCACGCAAATCACTTGTGAAATCCGTAACCATATTTATCATGGCATTTAGGAGTTCCGCATTGTCCGGAGCAGCTCGAGAAGTGGATGATTCAGCCTCAGATGATAAGGCGCTTCTGCTAGTACTGCTAGAACTGCTGCTGGACTGCACGGACTCTGCAGTCATCGTTTGTCTGCTCTGTTGCACAGTTGATGATGACGAAGATTTGGACTCCGTGCTGGATATATGCTCCTCAATACGCTTTGTCGAGTCGGTCATATGCTGCACACGCTTGAATTGAGCTTTTAAATTGGCAATTTCCGCCAGCTTTTCCTGCAGATAATTGGCTGTTTCCTCTTTGTCCTCATTAGTTGCGTTGTCTTTTTCTTCGGTTGCTGCACTTTCTGCTGTAGCGAGTGAAGACTGTGATTCCGTGGTTACAACGCTCACCGATTCCTGCTCCCTGGTGGCCATCCTCAATTGCTGGCGCTGGGCGCTTAAGCGTGTTAGTTCTGCCTGCAGCTGACGATGCTCCTCTTGCATCTCCTCTAACTGACGATTGGAAGCAGCCAAGAGCTATGACGGAATATATAATATATTTGTACCTATTCCGGCCAATGATCATATTTCATTTGACTCAATTTTTACCTCGCTCAATGCGGCATTGTCTTGGGGCTTATTCAGTTCGTTGACCATTATGTGGATCGTTCCTTGAAAGAAAAGTCTTTGTTTTTAGCTACACATAAAAATTGTGTTTTCTTAAATATATACTGACAAACACACACACGCGCGTAACTAGAGCTCCCATTGCTATAAATAACATTTTTTCGACTTTGTGGTAATATTTGTGTCAATCATTTTGACGGTCCTCGGTTGGCCCTCACTTGGAAAACAAAAGCAATTATATAAACTTACAGAACGGAATGTGGACAGGCGCTGCACTAGAAATTCAAAATTATGTTCAAATAGATATATCTATCTTTTATTTTTTCGAACAATCCGCACGTTCAGATGCCAATTTTCCTACTAAATGACTGAGCCGAAAATGAAAATATTTTATACGATAATTTATATACATACACCCATGTACGCACATACGTACATACATATCTATAATGTGTAGGAAGACCAAATATATTTATATATATAGTAAAGTTCATAGCGTGTGTCAGGCGACAAAAGTTTCAAAAGCGAAATCATTATAAAGAATTTTTACTATATCTCACAAATAGGTATCTAGTATGCACTATATTTTTGAAAAATGCCTTTAGCTTAGTCATCACTGCATGGCGAACTGCTATCTTTCAAATTAAAATGTTCTTTTCAGTATAAGTGTGAGGTCGCTCAATATTGATAAGCGTGAGGTATCTGTTATGGAAATAGATCGACAAAACTCAAAGATATCTAGCATATAAGGTGGATTGGTGTCGAATAACGGCAACAGTTGGCTCAGTAAATGCTACGAAATAGAAGTAAGTCCTGTGGCCTTACGTGCTCTACTAAATTTAATATTTTCTTTTTGTCAAGTGAAAGTCGTGATATCTCTTGGATTTTTATTGTTTTGTCAATATGCATTGATCGAGGCTCAGCAATTCGTGGCGCCCGACCCTGAAGACGATGACACTGAAACAATATTGGATGGAAGTAGTCTATATACGGGCAACATCAGTCTTTGCAAAAATGTTGCCAATAGAATTTTTCTGCCGCATGTAGGAGACTGTAAAAAGTATTATCTCTGCTGGGGTAAGTGGAGCTCTTAACAAACTTATTCATTTTTTTAAAATTATACGTTCCTGCCAGATGGCGAGGCTATAGAGAAGCAGTGCAATAACAACTACGAGTTCAATGCTCGCAATCAAAGTTGCGGCTATCCGAATAAAGCAAACTGTATGCCCAAATGTGAATCCTTTAATCTAACGAGCTTTGGCTATGATCGCACCTGCACCAAATACGTGCTCTGCTATTACGGCATTCCAGTTCTGAGGGAATGCCAGGACGGATTGCAGTACAATGCCGATACGGATCGCTGCGATTTCCCTCAATATGTGGACTGTGTGGACAACGAGTGCATGCGATTGAGTGAGTCTACGGAACTCCTGTTCTTGCCCAGCAAGGCTTCGTGCTCCAAATATTTCCTATGTGCAAAAGGTGTTGCCATGAATTACACCTGTGCAGAAGGATTGTATTTCAGTACCGATTGCAATTGCTGTGATTATCCCAATAAGTCGCAGTGTCAAGTGAGTTCCAAGAGTCAAAACATTCTCTAAAGTTCCTTATGCCATTAATGTATTTAGGTTACATCGTTGAAACGCAACATTGAACCCTTTGCCCGGATGCCACTGCGAAGCGCTGATATCGTCTGTCCACGCCATGGAGCTCACTTCTACGCCCATAAGTCGAGGCGTGATGCCTACTATTATTGCATTGAGGGCCATGGCGTTACCTTGGATTGTACGCCCGGCTTGTGGTATGATGCAGATGTTCAAGAATGTCGCGAACCCGAAAATATCCTGAATATCTCTAAACCAAAAGCTCATTAAAACCGAAAAGATTTGTTTTGAATAAAATAAATAAATCCTTATCGATAAAACACTTGTAGGAATACCGTACAGTTCCAAAAATTTACTGATTCCCCACAGATCTAGATCTCCTCTGACAATGATCCAACATTGGATCAGCAACACTGTGGAAGATGTATGTAATTATTTTCTCATGTCCCTCTATTGGATATGTAGCTGAGGAAATGATTTTCCCGACTAGTGATGGCTCCCAAACTACAAGCTTCCAGCTTCAGATAATGCTGTGCGAACCAGCAATAAAATGAGAGAATTCCTAACATCATATATCATATATGAAAGTTTGCCTTTACTAAAGAAATCCACTCGAGAGATTGCCCTCATTTGAGTGTCTAGCCTATTCGTTGTTTGGTTTCTTCGTCGCCTGCTTTGCAGAAGAGATCAGTGTTTTCCGAGTAGCTATAATTAGCTGATGAGAGTCGCGTCTAGGCACTTGCAATGAGCGTCTATAAACAAAATGCAAACAAATTGGTTGAACTTTAAAATTTATTTTGCTGACATCCTCTAGGCCTTCACGAATTGTGGCTCGCGACATTCCTGTAGCTTGGCATCAAAGACCAGGCCCGGTGTGCAGTCCAGAGTGACGGAATTACCATGGTTACAGTAGTAGTAGGCATCCTTGCGGGTTTTGTGGGCAATGAAGTGAATACCCTGGTCGGGGCATAAGATACCCCCGGAACGAGGTGGGACCCTAGAGAATGGCTGAATGTCGCGCTGTAGAGACTCCACCTAAAGGAAATTGAAATCTGTTGAGCGATAAAAATGCATATTTGATGAGTAGAGGACCTACAGTACAATTGGCACGAGAGGGAAAGTCACAGCAGTTGCATGCGGGATTGAATTGGAGACCATTGGCGCAGGTCTGATTGACTGGCAGACCATCCACGCAAACATAGTATTTGTCACACCGAGATTTGCTAGCAATGTAAACAATGTCGTCCACATTGTTCTGACGCACGCACAGATTATCCGCACAGTCCACATACTGAGGGAAATCGCAACGATCGGTTTCCGCATTGTATTGCAGGCCATCGGCGCATTCACGCAACACTGGCTCTCCGGCAAAGCAGAGAACGTACTTGGTGCAGGTGCGATCGTAGCAGAAGGAGCTCAGTCCCTGGGCTGGGCATGTGGGCAGGCAGCGCACCTCAGAGACGTCCACACATTGCTGATCGCGTGCATCGAAGAAATAGCCACTGCTGCATGTCCGAGGCACAGCTTTGCCGGCTATCGAAGGTGTTAAATACGTTTTTATGTAGTAAGTACAATTAACTAAGCTGTTCTGGCATAAATTTTAGGCGTTTGAAGGCAATGCTTGATGTATATAAATTTGCATATGTATGACTGGATGTGCGTAAGTAACGAATTTCACCATTTTTATTGCAGTTCACGATTTATGTGAGTTAGAGCGAGATGACCCTATGAATGTGCAGTGGAAGTGGAGATTGAAATCCACCAAAGTGTATTTTTGCTAATGTACAAATGCAGACCATGGTGTGTTGGAATATCCACCTCACAGCACAGTTGTCAGTTGACAACTTATAATAATAATATTAGATAAATTACATTGCTTTGCAATATATGTATGCACATTAAATTAACAAAACATACCAACACACAGATAGTAGGAGCTGCAGTCATTGAGAGCTGGCAGAAACAGATTGTCGACCACATTGGAGCAAATGTTCACATCAGCCAGTCCATTGCCAAGCAGCGCGGCCAATGAGATCAACGTCAGGAATTTGGTAGATCTGTTCACTGTATATTGAAAATGTATTAAAAATTGTATCACTAAGTTCAGAACTTAGTTGTAGCCGACTGTACTCACTGTTGTCAGATTGTTTCTTTCCGTTTCCAATCGCAACTGTGGCCCCAAGCTCGAGGGAAGCTTCATTTTATAGGCAACCATTTTAGTTGGGTTTCTGGTTTTAATTGTTTTCTTCTTTTGCCAATCAGCTCGAGATACATACGATTATTTTGTTGCTCTTCGGCGAAAGCAAAACTTATTAGAGGCGAAACATGTTTTGAATTGGTAATTTTTGGCAACAGACTCGGAGCAAGCATTCAAATTGGATAGATAAAGACCCCATATCGGAACGACACGCAATAAAAAATTAAAAGGAAACTCTTAAATTATCAGTCTCATATCCGCAGTTAAAATGTTGGTAACAGAAGTGCCTTATCAACAGCGCTTGTGAAGAGCATATGTAAAATAAATTTACACCGTGTAATCTCATGTAGTGCCGAAAATGTAGTGCTGGATTATATAAATTATAATAATTTATGGCTTAAAATATGGGATTAAAGAGCTTTTTCTTGATCACTATCAAAATTGGTCGATCGAGCACAAGGACTGTATAAGTACTTATATATATTTCTAGGCAATCTAGTCCCTGGCTTGACAATGATTACATGATTTACATGCATAGATCGAAATCGAATCGAAAAAAGGAAAAAACTATTGTTTTTCAAGACAATTTAATTTGATCTGGCGACTTTGTACAGCAGAACTGCATCTCATAAATATTCAGCTATTTCAGCATTACTAATGAGGAGGAATAAGGTTTTATGCTGAATATCCTTTCAATTTTTCATATGCCTATCTTGAGCTGTCTTGAATGGCAAATACCATCGTAAATGTTGATTTCAAATATTTATTGTATACCTTTGGTATTATATCATTAGTCACTTTATCTACTTTTATCTTTATTTTTATCGACTTTCTGAATTAATTTCTTCAGATTAACTTCTTAAAATATATATATTTATTCCTTATTTTTCCTTCTTTAACCAAGTTTCCAATGAAAAAAAAAAAACAAATATTGAGTTGAATTACTTCTTGCACCTTTTAAATTAGATCCTTGCATTATCTTTGTAGAATCTATACCATATAATATATAATATATAATGACAAAGTTTGCCAACCCAAATTAGAAAAGTTGTTTGCCTAAGAGATAATCAAGCGTTTTCGAAAGCAGTATATTAGGCAAAAGTCGACAAATGAAATTTCTGTATCAATTGGCAAATTAAAAATGTAGTTTTCCTTTGGGAGCTAGACGCGCGTGCCTAAATGTGATAACGTCGATTTCTAAGAACTCATTAAATCGACACCTAAATAGAAAGAGTAAACGATATCAAAAAAAGTTTGCTCCCCACCTATAAATGGAAAGCTAGGTAGGAACTTATTACAGTTGTATTTTGCAGCTCTTCCTAAGAGTCTAAGAGTGCGTCGATATCCTCTTCCTTAAAAACTTTTTCTTTATCGTTTTCTTTTGCTTATTAACAGTGAAATTTATTTTTGGATTGGCGATTTTTGGCTTGCTGCAATGCGCGCGGGCAAGATTCTACCTGAAGCCTATGCAGCAGTCGGAAGAAATCGTAGCACCCGATCCTGAAGACAATGACATCGATCCTAATGGACCCCTCCACTCATTAGTTATGAACGACATAAATCTGTGCGCCAATATGGCAGACAATTCCTTGCTGCCCTACATAGGCAACTGCTCCCACTATATCTCCTGCAAGGGTGAGTAGGAGCTTAACGCGCAGTGAAGAGGATTCTAACTTGTTGCGGACTTCTTTCAGGTGGCAAAATCGCCAGTTACAGCAGCTGCTATGAAGGCGATGCCTTTAAAGAGCTTTGCGGTGAGAATGACCCAAACTGTAAACTCGCTTTTGATTACAAATACCAGGCCTGCACCTATGCCGACGATGAGGATCTCAAGTGCCTGCCCGAATGTGAAGACTACAAGCTGACCAGCTTTTGCTACGATCGCACTTGCAGCAAATACGTGCTCTGCTATTACGGAATTCCGGTCTTAAGGGAATGCTATGATGGATTGCAATACAATGCGCAGACGGATCGCTGCGATTTCCCTGAATATGTGGACTGTGTGGAAAACGATTGTCCTCAAGAAAAGTCGCTCTCAAACATCCTCTATCTGCCCAGCAAGGCACAATGTAGCAAATATTTTATCTGCTCTAATGGCATGCCCTGGCCTCAAGAGTGTGCCAATGGACTAGTGTTTAATCCCAAGTGCAATTGCTGTGATTATGCGAGCAAAGTCGAATGCACAGTGAGTATAACTCTAGTTACTAAACTCAAATATAATCAAGTCAACTTCAATTCTGTTTATGACTTGACAGGAAACGGTGCAGCAGCGCAACATTCAGCCCTATTCCCGCTCACCTCCTCGACGAGCTGATATCATCTGCCCAGACACTGGCGTTCACTTCTATCCTCACAATTCGAGACAAGACTCATACTACTATTGCGTGGAGGGGCAGGGCATCACCTTGGATTGCACGCCCGGTTTGTTGTACGACTCCAAGATACACGAATGTCGTGATCCCAAATATATTCAGATCTAAATAGAATGACAATTAGATCAAATATACGTTTCACATATGCCTATGATGCAATACATGTTATATCTCTAAAGATCTATTATTCAAACTATTTTCTATTAGGCATACCTCTATTTTTTTCATATTCCCTTAAAAGCTTTTCTATCCTAGACTCAAACCATTTTAAAGCTTTTCTATGCCAGATTCAAACCATTTTCAGTGGAAGCTCGCTCATTGCGCATGTCTCGTGCAGCTACCGCGTCTTTTGAGAGCAGATTGAGACCCCATTTATGCAGTCGCCACCCACTCGCACGCATACATGCACACACATATATACATACACGCATCGTAACCAATACCGAAAGCAAAAACCAAATGTTGGCAGTCTCTGAATTTGCTTTGCAAAGCAACCAATACACACACACACACACACACTCACACATACACACACGAACACGCTCTATGAAGAAATAATCTTGAATCTGAACTCATGAAAAGTGAAAATATTTCGCTAGCTGCATTCAGAAATTCAGTTGGCGTTGTCAGTTGGCTGCGGGTCCTTGCGCAGGAGGCAGCAAATTGGCAAAATGCGAATTTAGAGAAGCGCGCAGTGATTTTTATTAGTATAAACATAGTAAGAATAATAATTTAACGAACTTTGCATTCGATATGTGAAATTTCAATCAATGTTTCGCTGCATTTGACTATTTGAGAATTGGCGTCTGAACACGTTCGCGTGTTTCATTCAAGGCTGGCAGAAGGATACGTTTTTTGTCAGTTATTTTGTTGTGTGTATCGCTGTGCCAGGTCAGTTGAGCGTTCAAGGACTTTTTTGTGCAACAACAACAACAACATCAACAATAACAATAATAACAATCAATGTGCTTCAAGTGTGCAAATATAGCAAGAAATGCAAAAGAAAACTCATAGTTGTTAAAACATAATAGAAAGATAAATAAATACAGGTAAAAGAGTGTTAACAAAAGCCAGCCAAATTGGCATGCACTTGAAAATCAAATGCACACCCACACATACGCACACACACACACCCACACACACATACACGAACACACACCAACGCATTCGCAATGCATTGAAACTGTTCATATTGCTCATACGCAGCGTGTGCCATCAGTGGACAGCAGCATAGACAAGCGCCTCTCGTTTTCACAGACAGACAGACAGTCGAGGGAATTATCCAGATAGCTTTAACTCAAACTGATTTAATGTCTTTTCATTTTCATTTTCAGTTTCAGTTTCATTTTACGTATTTAGTCTTTACACATTCACTTCCCGCCAAGCAGAAAACAAAAATGATACAAAAAAGACGCTCGTAAAGGTTAACTGCAAAAACAAACCATCAAATAAACAAGGTTAAAAAACGTCCAGTTTACAAAGAGTGAGAGTGAATGGTTGGGCCTGGCTGCAGGGACTCGTTATCCTTATGTGCGGGTCGCGTAGTTTCCTGTTTTCAATCCCTCCCTTTTGTTTGCCATATTTCGCATAGCTTCTCACATCTGTTAAAGCGTCAGTGACACGGAACACTGTTTTCCTTTATAGAAAGCACACAGGATCCACTATTGTCTAGACAAAGACTTGCTTGTCGAGTTTTTAAGAATTTGCTTACCAGCGTAAAATTGCAATTTTGTTCTTTACAAAGAACGAATTTCTATAGAAATGGAAATGTTTTTGTAAGATATTTTTATTTTTCACAAATAAATAGGAAATAGATAAAATAATTAGATCCAAAGTAATATATATTATTATACTCTTGTATTTATTTTTAATATAAAATATTTTAAAATGTGAAATTTGTGGAAAAAAGTTATTACCTGTTTCCGCCCGGGATCGAACCGGGGGCCTTCTGCGTGTTAGGCAGATGTGATAACCGCTACACCACGGAAACAGCTGGAAGCGTCTGAGCCAAAAATAGCTTTTATGGTTGGCAACATGTGCGTGCATTTAGGCACAGCAAACAAGTTCAAACTAAACCAGAAAGGGAAAGGAAAGCAACAAAAATAAAAATAAAGCAAACACATTTAACAAAAGTAAAAGATAACGTTGTATATGCATATGAATGTGTGTTAATATGCCTACCTGCAAAAGTAGCTCAATTAAAGCTGAAACACTGGAAGTTGAATAAATAATTTGGACAAAAAGCAGATTTGTATGTATGCATATGTACATGTAGTTCAAAGCTTGTTTTCGAACTAGTTTTTTGGAATTTAATGGGTGTAAATCAGATAAGCTATTAAAAAAAAACACATTTGAAATAATTTAGTCTTATATTATTTTTAAAGATTAAAACTTAAATTTTGTAAAAAGTTTCAATCTGTTTCCGCCCGGGATCGAACCGGGGGCCTTCTGCGTGTTAGGCAGATGTGATAACCGCTACACCACGGAAACAGTTGAAAACTTGGCTGCATAATAGTTTATTTAAGGCAAACACATTTCCAAAAACTATTTTAATTAACCAAATCACATTTTATTTGTGGCTATTTTAAAGGCATTTTGGAATGCGACCAAATGATTTGCCAATTTTTTTATTGTTTTTTATTGCGTTTAAACACAGCGAGGAGCTGCCAAAAAGCTGATAATAGACTTATGGGCACGTTGAATGAACACTTTATATATATATTTATAAATATATATAGATATCTGCCCGCACGTAAATTCTTATACATATGCACGCATACGTGCTGCCCATTCATAGAGAATAATTGTGTATAATTGTGTTGAAAAATGTATTAGTTTAAACAAAAGACGTCAGTATTTGTGATCATGAGCTGATTGAATTTCCCCCTTGAAGGTCACAATATTGTGTGTTAGATACAATCTAAAAGTTTGCTTTGTTGAGCGCTAATCATGGCAAAAAGACAAAGAGTCAAAGGAAGTGTGAACTGCAATTTGAACCCTTTTTGCGGGGGTCAATTCTTAATAGTTCGTCTAAACAAAAGAAGCTTTCAGCGGGAATGCCAATAGTTAGTTGTCTTTAAAGTAGTTGAAATATAATGAATATGACTCCATTCACATTGAAATTGTATCTGTTCAGCTATTGTTTCAATAATTTCGAAATCACTTAAGGTGAACGCAGCAGCGAAATGAAATTCTAGAAACTGGAAAATTAAACAAAAAACTATGGAAGGAGCTGAGGTCAGGGAATCACAAATCAAGTGTACACAATACGTTGAACCTTGGATCAGAAAGGTGAAGTGCGAGGGAGAGGCAGTGAGAGAGAGACAGCTCAAAGACAGACCATCTCTATTCGGATAACAAGGGGTATGGGCCGTGGGAGGGCCAAAGTGAGCAATTGGCTGAAATGAACCTATCAAACGGTTGTCCAAAATGTCTCTTTTAAATACGAGTATGTTTATTTTATTACTTTTGAGCATTGCTCGAGTATTTATTTATTCGCCAGTGCATTCAGCTCTGAGTGCGTTGTGTAACTTTTCTCGCCCAAGAAGTCGTTGACAAAGCAAAGCATTGAACTTTGAACTTTGACAGCAAACCGCTTGGACGCGATTCGGTGTCGGAGTCGGAGTAGGAGTCGGACTCCGAATTGGATTACCACAGCAGACAAAAAATTAAATACGAATAATTTTTAATGCCAAGCTTTAAATGACATTCATTTTATCATTCGTCATATATAACTGCATGTGAATATATATTTATATATATATAAATATATAGATGTTTGGAATTTGTCATTTTATATGTTTTTTTGTTGTCATTGTTGATTGGCCAAGACCTCAACAACCACAAACCAGACCAATACCATGGCCAATGGGACCTGTGGGAACAGTTCAATGAACAGCTAAGCAAGTTAAGCGGCAAAGCGAATGTAAACATTGTCTATACACAAAGCGTACGGTGGGACAATTTTCGCGTGTTCTCTCTCTTATCATTTTAAAATATAAATTGCAATTGATTAACTCAACTGCAAAACTAAAAGAAGTTATTGCCTATGTCTGCCTTGAGGCATGGTTGGACAAGCTTCAATATAAATAAAATGTCAAATTCACCAATTAATATATCCTTTATATAGTAAGATAACATTATTATTTTAGCTTATTTATTATAAGCTCATAAAGAGCAATATAAAACACGTGGGCCCTTATCTTATTTGTGCCCATTCCTAATTTATACAATTTGATTAACTTGACTTTAATACCAATAATCTATATATTCATACAGTAGTATATTGATTTGGACTTGTTTTTAATTATATAAATATATTTAGTAATGAGAAAAAGTTATTTTTCAATATTAAAGCTATAACGGCAATAATATAATCGACGCTTTTTTAACAATTTTGTATAGTTAAACATTTTAAAAGTAAAATAAATTTAGTAAAAAGATATTTTAATCTGTTTCCGCCCGGGATCGAACCGGGGGCCTTCTGCGTGTTAGGCAGATGTGATAACCGCTACACCACGGAAACAGTTGAAGCTATACCAGAAAGATAGCCAATTTGAGAAACTATTCAAATATTTATAATCTTGTGATATAAATATTCAATTAACTTATTTATAACTTGTCATTTTTGATTGCGCATAAAATTATCTTACACTTGAGCCACGTCCACTGTGCTGCTCCCTGCGTCTTCTCTATCTATGCCTCTGTCTGTGTCTCTCTAACACCTTGTGTGGCTGCCCTCTGTAGCCCCTGTCCCATTCTTAGCTCACTTTTGGCGCGCTAAGCTTTTGTGTTAAGTTTTTTGAGTTTGCCAGCTCTGCTGCTGTCAATAACACGGGAAGTGAAAGGACTCCCAAAAGTCGCTGTATTCTTGTTGTTATTGTTGCTATTACCATTTGGGGGTTATTTGATCAGGCAGCAACCTTTGTTTAGCGCTTACCTATGCAGTTCTTGTGATGGGGAAGCCGTTTGGGGCTGCTGCTGCCTTTTTTGTGGGGTAGTTGAACTTGAAATCTCGCACAAAGAGGAAACAGCAGACAGACTTGGAGTGCAGCATAATAAAAAGCAATGGGCACGTTTCCTGTTTAGCTACATATATATATATATATTTATGTGTGTATGAGGATGTGTGTGTGTGTGTGCGCGTGTCTGTGTGTAAGAGAAATTCCTTCTTCCGTCTAGGCGAGCTCAGTTGGCGCTTGTGTCTCGACACAAAGCCAAATGAGTCATGCGCTTTGTCTGGGCTTAAGAGGCGAGCGTCCCAAACTCTCAGCATTAACTTCAAATAAGTTTCGCGTCTATCTGTTAACATAAGTTTCTACTTACAGTAGTCGTCAAGTGCTCGTAGGGAGATGCATTTCTGGATTGATAAACGTTCGCAGCAATGCGGCTTTGGGCGCTCACGTGTTGCGGCTTCATTGTCGCATGCGGGCGGCGGCCTCAGTTACGGCCATCCGCCAAGGCGCAACAAATCCAGTAGCAACAGTGCCAACAATATGGCTGGTAGCAGCGGCAGTAGTGGCAGCCATAATCAAACGCTGGCCTCGGTGCATCGCGGGCCAGCGCCTTATGGGGGCGACTGCCAGTCAGGCGCTGGCACCAGTCGTCAGTCGTCGCATTGTGCGAGCAGCAATAATAATGCACATGCGAGCAGTCAGCAGCAACATCAACCATTGCTGCATCACAGCAGCAACAATAACAACAGCAATGTTGCCATGCCAACAACTACCGCCAGCAACAACAACAATCCGAATGGCACCGCCACATCGGCAGCGGTGCTAACAGGCAGCGGGACGATTGTTCCGTTGGTGGCGCATGGCTCACATTACCATCAGCACAGCACGCGCTATCAGCCAAGACCGCAGCATCATCAGCAACAGTTGCAGCAGCAGCATCTGCAGCTGCAACAGCAACATCACCAGCAGCATCAGCAGCATCACTATAGCTACAGTTATCATCATCCTCAATTTGGCAACATGGCTGTGCCAGTGAGACAATACGAGCAACAACAACAACAACAACAGCAGCTGCAGCAACACCAGCAACAGCATCAGCAACATGCAGGCGTCTACGCGTAAGTAATTTTCGTTGATGCAAAAGTTGTAATTTATTTACTTAATTATTAAATATTTTATTTCAGTGACGATGCCTATAGCGCCTACCATCATCACCACAGTAGCAGCAACAGCAACAGCAACAGCTGCAACAACACCAACAGTCGATATGCAACACCTCGACGTCACAACTCCAGCAGCAATATGCGCCATGCAACGGTCACCGCAGCAGCAACAGCAACTACAACAGCCTCGGTGTCTGCCACAGCCACGCCCATACCGCCCACACAAACACAGGCCGGGACACAAAGCAACCAACTGCAGCAACAGCATCACGCACTGTTGCAACATGCCGATTCGCAGCTGTTGCCCAGTCATCTGAAGTGCGGCATGTGCGCCTCGCTGGTGCTGGCCTCAGTTTTTGTGGCTGGGGCAAAGTTCTACTTTGATCACCAGGGCACTGGCCTGGAGGTGCTCATATTTTGCGCATTCTCGGCTACTTTCTTTTTGGCCGCCTGCATGGTGTCGCTGTGCCGCATACCCAAGGGCTTGTTACCCAGCACCAGCAGCGGCGGCAGCAGCCGCAGCGATGCACGCGCCGTATGTCACAGCCGTGGCGGCAATGCCACTAGCTGTATGCTGGAGCTGAATGATGTCAGGTATTTGGATGAGCGACAGGTGGAGGTGAGTGCGGAAACGGCGGCAGCAGCAGCCGCTGGGCCACCGCCATATCATATAGCAATATTGTTGCCGGAACAGACGCCGACGGCACTGGGTAAACAGGTGCCACTGGATGAGTCACCGCCGCCGTCCTATGATAAGATACTCGTTTAGTTTGGGCTTGTTGGGATAGCGCTTTGGTTTTCATTTAGGAATTGAGCGTCAATTTCAGTTAAAAGCCAACTATAAACCCAATCCAACATACCAAATACTTTTGCTCAATATTTTTCTAATGATATCAACAAGAAATTTATATATACATATACACGGCAAAAATGACATTTGCAAATAGATATACATATATATATATATAACACATATATACACAAACATATATATATACATATATAAATACAAAGTAAAGTATATTTTTAAGCTCCAATTAATATTTTTACACTTTGAACTTTCTAATCCAAAACACACTCACACACGAACCCCAAAAATCTCCAGTCTCTCTACTAACTATGTATCATTTGTGTTCTGTGATATGCTCAAAAGAAAATCATACGAGATAATCCATTAGAGACAAAGCAAAGCGAAATAGATAAACCAGAATATATAGAAAATAGTTGCCATATAATATAGTAATATGTGAAAATGTGAAATATTCAACTAAATACACATCAAACAGCTACAACAGTATTATTAGTCAGTAGTCATTTAAGTAACAACTACTCATATGCAACGTAAATAAATAATGTCAAAGTGCAATATAATACAAGTAAATAAATAACGAATTAATTACAAAAAAATCAATTTGAACTGCTGATTTATATTTAACTGATGCCACTATTTATCGATATATCGATATTAATGCGCTGAGCATTTCTACCTTTCGCGTGTGGGTACATTGTGCAGGTATCGATAGTTCAATGTTACCACATTTTTCGATCGAATTTGTAAATAACATTTGTAGTAGTTTTTCATTTGTTAATTTACTTAGAAGTTCGTAATTATTGTGGAATATGACTCGTCACGCACGTAATTGCACTGCCGGTGCCGTTTACACTTACAACGAGAAGAAACGCGATGCTGCCGAATCTGGATATGGAACAAATGCCAAGCGTCTTGGCAAAGATTCAATCAAATCCTTCGATTGTTGCTCGCTGACTCTGCAGCCTTGCAGGAATCCTGTGGTAACCAAAGATGGTTACCTCTTCGACAAGGAGGCCATTCTGCAGTACATTCTTACCAAGAAGAACGAATACAGTCGCAAGTTAAAAGAATACGAGCGCCTGCGTCGCATCGAAGAAAATGAATTGACACAGGAAGCAAATCAAAAACAACTGGCTCGCATGGAGAAATTCGTTAATGCCGGGAAACCAACCACAACTCCTGCACACAAGCCAAGCGCAACACTGTCCAAACCCACAAAGCTGGATGATGCGCCCAGCACATCGTCATCAGCCATTGCTGGCTCAAGCAGCTCCATTTCCAACATGGCCAATGGACATGAAACGAAGCTGCCAAGCTTTTGGCTACCCTCCGAGTGCCCCAATGCTGGTGTAGCCAAAGCTAAGGCGCCAGATTCCACGATTTACTGTCCCGTCTCACAGCAGCCGCTTAGAGTCAAGGATCTTATCGATGTAAAGTTTACGTTACTCAAGGATGGGGACAACAAACGATCGCTTATCGCCAAGGAGGCACGCTACATGTGCCCCATTACACACGATGTCCTCAGCAATGCAGTTCCCTGTGCCGTGCTACGACCTACGTAAGTTAAAAAAAAGGTAAAATTGTCGTGTTAAAATAAGCTGTTTATGTATGTTTGCAGAGGCGATGTGGTTACCATGGAATGCGTTGAAAAGCTTATACGCAAGGACATGATACATCCACTTACCGATCGCAAGCTCAAGGACAAAGACATCATTCCACTGCAACGTGTAAGTAAAGGAATTGGGACTTTAATAGAGCTTGTTTCTTTAAATGTGCTCTACACTGATATATTGTCTTAAGCCAAAGCATCGAAAGCCGTAAAGAGTAGCGGACCTATAATTTGGTTATTTTTATTATTATTGCACCTGACAATGGTATATACCGATGTACTCTATCTATGTATGCTGGGAACATCAAATGTTACATGCATTCTCTAACTTTAGTTTTTTGAGTCTTGCTCATTTGAAGAGCTAAGTTAACTTCCCTGCGGTTGTGAAAGTTACAAAGCTTACATGGATGACGAATACTTCGGTTTCATTTAAATTATATAAAATATAGTTTTAAATATATATATGTACATTTATATATAATTGCAACAAAGAAAAATTTTTCTATAATTTATGTCTTTTGGTTATTGCAGGGCGGAACTGGTTATTCGTTTACCAATGACAATCTGCAAGGCAAGGAGAAGCGGCCGATGCTACAGGTTTAAAATGCAAACAACTTTGTTTTCATTTAATTAGTTTATTAATAAAGCTCTTAAAGCTAATTTCAATGTACAATGTATTCAATGTTCTATTGTTCAAAATTTACAAAATATCATATGTAAAAAACAAATAATTTAAAGATCTTCTGAATTATTATATAATTTATTTAGAGTTATATCTAAGTATTGTGTTATTAGGCATTTTTGCTGCAACCTTGACACACTCTTCCCCTACAAGAAACTCATGTTAAATAGATAAGTTTTGGCACAACAACTGCACACGTTTTCTTGATAACAATATTGATATGTGATTCATGACCTTGAGAATAGATATAAAAAGGCAAAAGAACTCTCAACTTTATAGCAAACCAAAATCAGCAACAAGCAGCTCAAGCTAACATCAAGATGTGCCAACTGCAAAAGATCTGTGAGGTGCTCTGCCTGTTCTTGCTGAGTGGAGGACTACGTCTTTGCACTGCGGAAGTGTTTCAACAATGCGCCAGTGTGGAGGTGGATACTTTTATTATGGCCATCGACGATTGCACAAGCTACATTTACTGCAATGGCGAAAACTCCTTCAGGGACAGCTGCCCAGATCAAACATACTTCGATGCCAATGCGCAGGAGTGCGCCTTTGACGATACCGGCATTTGCTTGGATGCAATGAAGACAACAACTGTAGCAGCTTTAGAGGAGATGATGAATAGCAATACTGATGCACCAACGGCTGTGCCTACAGAAACAGATACAGATACAGAGCAGACGAAGCCAGGAGACAGCAGACCGCATTGTGACACCAGTGGAGATGGCTACCATCCGCATCCAGAGCGCTGCGAATACTATTATAGCTGCATCGCTGGCTACTTGACCATAGTGCGTTGTCCCTACAATTACGGCTGGGATTATGCGCATCAGCAGTGCAAGCCCCTGTCCGAGGCGCAATGCTACAGCTTATAGAATATAGATCCGTAGACTTAAGAATAGTATTGAGCTAACCCAGATTTACAAGGCAACTGTACGAGATGACAATAATAAATAAGTATTTCTGGCATTCTAATGAATTGAATAAGTGCAGCCAGCGTCTGTGAAGGGGATTTGGCCCAGCAGCGTCTCCAATGCGCTTCCATTTGTATTTGTCAGCCGTTGTCAACATAATTCAAATCTCAACAGCAGGTACCAAAATTTATTTTTGTAACAGTTTTTTTTTTCTAATTTTTGTTTTTTTTTTTCTTGGCGGCTGCTTCCACATTTTTATTGCAAATTAATAATGCACACGAATTGCGAGAATTTCGCATTTGTAGTTGTATGTGTGAGTGTATGTGTGTGTGTGTGTGTGTGTTTTGGTGGGCATGTCAATTGTGTCTCGGGTAGCAGATGGACTACAACTTGATGCTCATTAATGTGTATTATGAATTAACAAATGTTTTGATTAACTAAATTTTGTTGCAGCCAATTAATTAAACAACAAATTTGTGAGTACAAAACTGCAACAATTTCTCTTTGCTGGCTTCTAGCTGCTGCCTGCTGCCTGCTAGCTGCTAGCTGCGTGCTCATTAATTAGAACATGGAACCGACAACGATGCTGTTGATGAGATTGAGATCGTTAGAGGAGCAAACGCAAAGACAGCCACAAGCACTGCGAAAACGACGGCGAGCGAGAAATCAAATCAACAAAACAAATGGCAACGGCGACAACAACAACAGCAGCAGCAACAGCAACAACAACATCGAATGGCACACAGCAAAAATTGTCAAGAGATGGACATTCGAAAAATAGAAAATCTCCAACTAAACCGAAAGAATTGAAACATTTTCGGATATTTTCATTTCAGATGCGAGCAGCAAACGGTTAACAAAGGTGCGCGCTTTAGCCAAAAGCTAAAAGCTAAAAAAAATAAAATTAGAAAATATACGCGACGAAAAGTGAATCGAAAACTGCGAAAACAAAGAGCATTCAGAAATATGCAAGGATATGAAATAAAAATAAAAATTAATTAACGTACATTAAATTATTTAATAATATAAAATTTAGTGAACAAACAAATTTAAAAAAAAATATTTGAATATAAAATAATTCTAGTGAAATATCAACAAAAATATTAAAATAAGAAATAAATATAAATAATAAAATCATATATATAAAAAGTAAAAATAAAAAAGTTTATCAAGCGCGTGGCACGCAAATCAAAATATACGTAAATAACAAGAATGAATAGTTAACTGCGAAGGGCCGAATGCTGAATACACTTTCAGAAATGCGTATAGAAATGACAGAGAAATTATAAAATAAAATAATTAAATATTTTAATTAAGAAGAGCTAACTTTATCCAATTTAATTGCGAGAAATATTTAAAGCTAAAAAATAAAATGCATAAGACGAAGTAAGAGTGTAGAGACACATAGACAGTCGACATATTTTTATAATATTGAATGTTTTTTAAAGTATTTAATATATAAAATATAAAAGCAAATTTAATAAAACTTATACAAAATTGTATAAATCTTACTCAGTTGTTTATTAAATCAAATCCAATGAGAGATGCCGTTTAGTCGCTACAACTGTCTTGGAAAATTAATAATACTTTCATTTGTGACAGAGGAAACGCATAAATTAGAAACACTTTGACATATATGAGCGAAATAGTAAACTAATAAATTATACAAATAATAATAAAATAAATAATAAATAGAAGAAAAAATTTAAAAATACGGGCCTTAGTCGAAAATGTTTAATTTATATATTCATAGGCAAAATATAAATTATTATCTAATAAAAGAAAGAGTATATGAAAAGTGTCGCAAGAACATGTGCGAAAATAAAAAAATATATATATTTGCAATAAAAAATATACAAATTTAGTTAAACAAAAAGTTATCTCAGCACTCTGTATATACTAGAAGAAAGGAAAATCAAACTACAAAATCTGCTTTGAAAACATAAAAACTTGCCGAAAGCATTAAACACAATATAAAAATCGGTTTTATCGCTAATATCCCAACACGAGTGTTCTATTAAATGGAGAAACACAAGCGAACATGCCGACAAGTGAAAAAATTCAAAGGAAAAATTTATGTTTAATAAACTAAGTTGACAACAGGAAAACATAAAATTAAAAGTTCGCGTTTGAGTTGTTGACATTTTGAATTCCAGTCGAAAAACCTCTTAAGTTCAATTAGACCTAGGCCTATAAATAATTTAGCCGGGGCAGTCGCGAAAAAAAAACGAAAGTCGAAAAACTGGACTGACTCGACCACAAAAAGAAAATCCAATAAAAAAATAACATAAAAATCTTAGAAAATATTCAAAAACAAAAATTCGTAGACAGAAATTTATGCGCGTCGCTTTTGTCATGGAACAAATGAAAGTTAAAACCATGCAGTAAATTAAAAATAAATAATAAAATTTAAAAAAATCCTTTTGGTGTTTTTATGGAATGGCAACTCGGCGTATGAGCGATTATGTGTAAAATATTACGCATCAACGCGTAGCCCAGCGGAATGGAAGGGAGGGCAGGGCGAAGGGTGATGATGAAATCACGAAATCACTTGACAAAGACAGCACTTGGACAACAAATCAAAATAGACAGGCTGGCGAGAGCGTTTAGCACAGTTCTTGTGGCGGCTATTTAAAAATACATACATAAGGCAACTGAAACTAATTTCGGAATATATCAAGTAAAAACTGAGCAAAATAAAAAAAATGCCAAAGAGTTACGGAAAAGACACTTTCTGTGTGAACGAGCGCCAAAAAGGCCATACCCCAGGCCAGGGCGTCCTTCTGCCCCTCCCCGCCCCAAGCCCCTTGTCCGCTTTTCCCCTTGTTTTACGGTTACCCTGGCTCTGGTATTCTTCTGCCTTCGTCGCTCAATAGAAAAATGCTTAGATGCGATTTTCACTCGCTGTGCACATAATGGAATGAAGAAAATTCCGTCTGTCGACAACAACAGCAGCAGCAACAACAACAACAACAACAACAACAAATAGCATGCTGGGCACCAAGCAGCTAGCAAAGATGTCGTAGTTGTCACTTTCGGGGCCTCCAATGAGTTGCAGTTTGCGATTCTCACACAGTTTGTATGCTATGCATGTGCGATGCACACACAAAAATAGCCCTCGGACAAAAGTAGTGGGTTACCCATCCAACACCCACTTACCAACACCACCAACACCACCACCATCACCAACAATCAACACAAGCAGCCAGCGCTAAGTAGACTTTCATGGCATCTAGTATAATCGCAATGGCTAAACAATGGAAATTGGCAGATTTATAGCACAGCCCAGAAACCCACAGATCTAGACAGAGATAGATATATAGCCAGGCCAGAACGAATCACATAAGAGATCAGAGACCAGCCAAAAACAAGTCAGACTGCCAAACGAGCGGATACCCTGTAGACAGTAATTGCGAGAGATAACGCACTTGCTGAGTATATCGATATTTATCGATTTGTGCAGAATGTACTTACAATATTAAGAATACCCCTGAGTCAGTGCAATGACTGAATTAATAGAAAATAAGATGTTACTATGAAAAAGTTAAGCCATAATGTCAGAATTTTATTTTAAAGATATGAAAAGAGTCTGCTGGTAAAACCGATATATATCGATTGCTATACAGAAAGTGCTGGCTGATGCTATTATATATTTATAATAGTTTCTCCTTGTGTGTGTTACACTCTTTAGTTACTCAATCTAAATAGGAACAGGGTATTAAAATCAGAACAACAACAACAACAAGTTAGGCAAATTAATTTTATTTAAATAAATTTCATTTAATTGCCAGCCAAAGCACACGCTAAGCCCCTGCACACTGAAACATCATCTGTGTATGTGTGTATGTGATGCTATTGTTGTTGTTGTTAGCTCTTCTTCTTGACATCTTTTATTGTAATTTAGCTTTGTCAACTGGCTCTCTGGCTAAATTCACAAAATAACCTAGGCATATAGAAAAGAAAACGAGATCCTACCTTGGAATGCATTCTATTGGCATATCTACAACGTAGCAGGCAGTTAGATTTTTAAGTGAAAATTCGGAGAAATACTATCTCATTATGACAAATCTATACCAAATACACTTTAAATGCCCTTTAAAGAACTCAAGCGAATCCGATTTCCATGAATCGATTCAATATTTATATCACCTTAAACTTGCTGTCTTTAGTTGTCTGCGCGCATAAACGCCATTCTCTTAGCCACAGCCATGTCACATTTGAAACGCACACAGGCTCAACTACATCACAGCTATTCATATCATGAAACGGCTAAGCATACCGTGGCGTATGAGTAATATGCCAAATGCTACGACACAATACGTATACGCCGCGTGTGCGTCGCGAGCAGCGGCAATCGGCATAAAGATCAACGCTCTATAAAGAGCGCTTCGTGGATCTCAACGAAAAAGTGTGCGACAAAATGTTCGACAAATATAAACAAATAAAACGACAGCAAACAGAAACGCAAGACAAACAAACAAATTATGAAAAGAAAATCGAAAAAATTGAAAAACGCGCGCGTTTCTACGGCGGCAAAAATGCAGTAATACTTAAAGGACTCTTAACCTATCTTGCAGAGCCATTTATGTGAGGAACACAGAGGCACAATCTTCATGAATTATGGAACATGTAAACACAACAAATACAAGGCAACAGCAACAGCAGCAACAACAGCAGCGCCAACAGCAGCAACAACAGCTGCAGCAGCATCAACTGGAACAGCAGCAACAACATAGCGACAATCAACAGCAATTCTGCCTACGATGGCATAATCACCAGGTAACTCAATCGAAGTCTATTTATTTGTCTAAAATCATTTGATATTAGCATGCTTTCCTTGGAACTTCAATTATTAGTTTTTCTTATTGAGTCTTAGCAGTTCTTAAAAATTACAGTATAAGCATAATAATTGTAGTAAATTGAATATAAAAGACTGGACTTTTGTTGGCACAAGAGTAAAGTGATGTGATTCAAATTGATGGCGGCTGGAATTCCGATTCGAAAAAGATAAGAATGAGATAGATAACACAACAAAGTGTTTATAAAACATATAGTGTTTTTATATATAGTATTTTCATAGTGTTATACACACACTATTTCCATAGTGTTATACACAAAGTGTTTATATAACACAATGAATATATAGTGTGTATAACATTATAGTATTAATGGGTGTGTGGAAATAGTGTGTGTATAACACTATGATTAGACTCTTTATATGTGTTATATGTTATGTGTATAACACTATGTGTTATGTGTTTGTATAACACTGTGAATATATTGGGTGTATAACATTATAGAATTAATGTGTGTAAATATAGAGTATAATCATAGTGTTATACACACACTATTTCCACACACACATTAATACTATAATGTTATGAACACAATATATTCATAGTGTTATGCAAACTCTGTTTCAATAGTGTTATACACACTATTTCCATAGTGTTATACACATATTTATACTATAATGTTATACACATTATATACTCATAGTGTTAAATCTATTTCCATAGTGTTATACACGCACTATTTCTATATAACAACAAAGCATGTTTAATGCTTTAACAATATAGAACGAGTTGTTACACTATAAAGCACACTGTTAAATTGTTATATTTTGTTATCCTATTTGTAGAGTGTGCTATATACACGTTATTGTTGTTATACTTAGAATACTGTACTATATTATATATATTACCGAAACACTTTGTTGGTCTATATAGCGATAGAAAGTTATACTCAAATGTAAATAACAAAAAATTATAATGTTGCACCCACTATTTTCATATAACACTTTGTTATCATTGAAAGAGAGCCTTTTAGAATAATGTTCCTTTTTTTATATGATATATCTATATATATTATTAATTATGAAATCCAAAAAGTGATTTTCACTTTGAATTTCCAATCAGAAATCAGCTTGCTGCATACATAAAGCAAGCGTTGGATTCAGGTGCCATTAATTCCGAACTACTTATCTCATGCTATGATTTATTGGCTCCAATGTGCTTGGCGCAGATTTTAAATGAATATAAATGAATGTTTTTAATAGACATGGTCAGCATTAGACTAGTTTATACGGCGTATTAGCCAAAGGCTTGGCCTCGCTCATAAAATTGACTGGACACCGTTCAGTAGAGGCGACCAGAGAAATGTCACCCATCTATATATAGGGTATATAGATAGATATATGGTGTATATCTGTATGTTTATATGTATTTAGATGTATTCTTATTCACACATAGTTTTCCGCATTTCATATACTGACAATTCCGCTGCTCACAGTTCGCTATTGGAGGGAGCACAGGCAGCCGACCAGCCGACCACAAAGCTGTCCAAAATAGCCAAAAGCCAAAAGAAGAAAAACAAAAAAAATTGTCAAATAAATGAAATGCTCATTGCAATTGCCAAAATCCAAAGAATTTTTACTAGCAACTAAATCTAATTTCGAACGCGGCGCAGTTGCAATTAATGCTCAGCTGCCATTAAGTGTCGCCTGGTGCATCTGCTCCAAATGTTTTCCGGGCCCCTAGCCTAGGGCATCGAATCACAATTTTAGCCAGCCAGCCAGCCAGCCAGCCAGCCAGGCAGCTGGCCAAATCTACTCTACTCTATACTATTTATAAGATTAGCTGACCCAATTGCCCTCAACTACAACGGCAGCTACAATTTACATTTACAACATATCTCGATTCCACTGCATCTCCATTCCAGACCAGTTTGCTAAGCACTCTGCCGGTGCTGCTGGACCAATCCCAATTGACGGATGTTACCATTTCGGCAGAGGGTCGTCTGCTGCGTGCACATCGCGTGGTACTCAGCGCCTGCAGCAGCTTCTTTATGGAAATCTTTCGGGCTCTGGAGGCCAACAATCATCCGGTCATCATAATACCAGGCGCCAGCTTTGGTGCCATCGTCGCGCTGCTTACATTCATGTACTCGGGCGAGGTCAATGTATACGAGGAGCAGATACCCATGCTGCTCAATCTGGCTGAAACGTTGGGCATTAAGGGACTGGCCGATGTACACAATAATAATGTAAGCTTATATATATATATAAGGATTGTTGATCTAAGCTTATTTTTCATTTCTTTAAAGCTACCTAAGACAGCAAAAAGTACGCCGACTGCCTGTATGGAGTCGACCGGCGTAGATAAGCTACCGGCATTCGATACCACTCGAACACCATCGCCCACGCCCACGCCCACAGCCACACCCACGCCTACGCCCACAAGTACGCCCAACCTGGCCATGTCCAATCCCAGTCTGCAAGCACCGTTGCTCGCCAATAAGCTGGGATCGCCATTGGAGAATTTCTTCTTGAAGTCGTTGCAATTCTATCCGAATCTCTTGCCGCAACCTTTGAACTTCTCCCAAACGGCGTTGAACAAAACCACAGAGTTGCTGGCCAAATATCAGCAGCAGTGTCAGCTCTATCAAAGCAACCTGGAGGAGGAGGAATGTTACGGAGCCAAGCGTATGAAGACGGGCAGCGGCACAGCGGGCAGCATAAGCCACTCACAAAAAGACATCAAGCGCATAGACAAAATCGTGGAAAATTTAAGAACTAGCTCCAGCAGTAAATCGCCCATGGAATGCGGTGCTCCGAACTCGATCGTGGCCACTTCACCTGTAACACTTGCTCCTCAGACCATGTCGCACTTCTCGCCGCAGCTGCCTGTGGTCAAGACATCGCCCAGCTACAACAATCCCTTGAATCCCGCCAGCCATCTGTACAGCGGCGCCAAGCTGCCCGGCTATAGTGCCGCTGCCACGCCCACAACGGCACAGCAAGCAGCACAGTCGCATCTGGCAAGTCCGCCCTACATAACGCCCGAGGATCATGTCAAACTACAGCAACACATCGAGCAATACGCAGCTTGTCAACGAGAAGCGGCGGCCGCTGCGGCAGCTGGTCAACTGATCAGCGCCAAGTCGGAGCCGAATTTGTTGTCCCTGAGCGCTGAGAAAATGGTGACGCCTAACAAGCCGCCATCCAACTCTAAGCTCTATGCCACGTGCTTCATCTGCCACAAGCAGCTGAGCAATCAATACAATCTGCGTGTGCATCTCGAGACCCATCAGAACGTGCGGTGAGCAGGCCACAAGGCAACTGTGATTCCAAATATCTGAAGACTTACTCTAAATCTCTTTCAGCTATGCGTGCAATGTCTGCTCACACGTGTCGCGTAGCAAGGATGCATTGCGCAAGCATGTCAGCTATCGTCATCCGGGCGCGCCGTCACCCTGCGAAAACGAAGCCCGACGCAAACGCGTCACCAAGCTGGCAGCTCAATCAATCTCCGCCAACGCACCGACGGCTACAGCAACCAGCAGCGATATGACTGCAGGCGAGGTATCAGGCGCCAGCTCCGGCTCAGGCTCTGGCTCTGGCTCTGGCCCAGCCTCGCTTTCCGCCAATCCGTATCTATTTCTACCCAATCAGTTTCAACTGGCTGCGGCTGCTGCTGTGGCCGAGGCGAATACAACAGCGTCAAGCTTAGATGTGGCGCACGAAGTGCCCACGTCCATGAAAAGTGTAACTCCCGTCGCCCGCAATGGTGATGCAGGCAGCGAGACGGATACAACAATCATTTAGAGCACCTGAGATTCACATATGTATATATATATATATATATATGCTTCCTCACACACACACACACAAAAACACGCACACAAACACGCTCTCACTTTAAATTAACCCCACCGTGCACCGAAACCAAACGTCTTAGACCCGGCTGTGATACTTAGCACAATTCGTCGATTTAATTTGAATTTATTCTCTTATTAATTTTAGCGCCATTTGTTAGAGTTTCGCTTGCACTTATCGACAAAACGCTTCGATAAGTCTGCAAGTGGTGGCATCACTGTCACAGTTTGAGGGTGACATGTCCTAACAGTTTGGGTAGCACTGACTGCATTCACCCAAGCTGTTTCTATGATCAGAAACTGTAATATTGCGAGGCTTTTAATTTACCTTCTACAAAGACCAACACACACACTCTCACACACTCTTACGCACACACGCCTACACATTCTAATAAATTAAGAGCAATTTTTATAAATATTATAATTATACACCAAAAACACGTACACACACATGCACACAAAAAGACAAGGTGAAGACCTACAAAAAACCAGCAACAAAATAAATTTTAAGCCACAAAAAATACATGGTTCAGATGTATTGTTATTTTCATGCAAAAACTAGTTTATTTCATTTCATAATACAATAATTTACGTACGCAGGCGCACTTTATACATATGTTTCAACTGTATTTCAGCTGTATAAGTATCAAAAATTGGTTTAAAACACATACAAGCATAATGAAGTGGGGTTGGTTTAAATATTCAAGTGTTTCAAACAGAAAGGCTTCATCAATGATATGATTAGCAAAAAAACTTTTGACCTTAAACTTAGAGGACTAAATGAGTGCATTTTATAAATATCTAAATGTAAAAAATACATGCACTTAAATGAAATGAAGCTGATATCAAAGATGATGCCTAAATAGGAACTCGGCGGCAATTAAATGGGATTTTAAATGGATCCGTTTCTCTTCTTCGTTCCTACTTCCTGATTAAGTATAAAAATATGCGCTGGCTGCGCCTTTTTCGTTGCTCTGTTTTCTATTGGCATAGTTTAAATAGTTTCAACATGCCAGACTTTGGTGTTACAATCCTGACCAGTGGAGATCACAGTGTTGTTGTCCAGCCACACAAGGCGCGTAATTTGCGATTGAGGATGCGCATCTAAGCGAGAAAAAAAAGGTGTTACTTAACTTATAGCAAAACAGTTAACTCTGGCTTACTCTTGATAATGGTGTGCTTGGCTGGATTGGTCACAGACCAAATAATAATGGTAGTATCAAGTGAACCACTGGCTACCAGAAGCGAATTAGGTGACCAGGCCACAGTGTTGACACGCGCATTATGGAAGCCCCATTCCTTGTTGTGAGCCGGCTACAAAATCAAAAGTAAATGGATTACATTAAAATCGTATATTAAAGGTACCTTCTCTCACCTTATATTCCTCCACTGAGTACAGCACAACCTTACGATGAGCATCACAAGCAACCAAATACTTTTGATCTGGAGAATATGCTACATCGGTGACAGCGCCTAGATGGTCTATTTCAGTCTTCAGCTCCAATGTACCGTCTTTAAGTGAATAGATATGCAGCTTTTGATCATCTCCGCCGACAGCCACTTCCAAAGTGTCCGCATTTGTAGCGATGGAACTGGCTTCGTATTTGATGGGCAGCGAGAATATCTTCTTCTGACCTTGCACCAAGGTAATATCCTTAATGCACGCCACAGCAATAATGTTTTCACTACGCAAGATGGCCAAGCCGCGAGGCTGGCAATTGAGCTTGACTACGTAGTCGGTGTAGTTGTTACCTTCGACACTGAACTGGCGTAGGCTATCGTCAATTCCACAGGTATAGACAAACTCATCCCAAGCGGCAATGCCGTTTATCTGATTGCCATGACCAGTACCGGTGATGCGATCGTTAGTACCGTTACCGGAATTCCAGTTGGTCACAATGCCATCATGGCTGCCCGTATAAATAGTGCTGCGATCATCACTTAAGGCCAACACTGTAATTGGCTTATTGTGGCCCTTGACCACTCGCAATGGTTTGCTTGGATCCTCCACATTCAAATAAGTAATAATTCCCGAAAGAGAAACGGTTATCAAATGCTCTCCTTGCCACAGGCACGACACCTGCTGATCGTCCACGGTATTGCCCATGACAAACTCGCTGATCAGTTCACGTGACTCAACCTGCCAGAGACGACAAGTCTTATCACCCGAGCATGTAAGAAGCTGAGTGCTATCCGGTTTCCATGCGACCGCATAAACGCCACCCTTGTGCGCTGGCGAGCCGAATTCGCCAACGAGATCCGAACTGGTTGCATCGTACAAAAATACTTTGCCGTCAAAGCCTGCCGACGCAAAGAATTTACCATCCGGAGAGTAGCGTACGGCTTGCACAAAGCGCGAATGGTCCTGCTTAGTCATCTTAAACTTGAAAGGTGGGCCTTCGAAAATGCCAATTGTGTTATCCTCGCTGCCTGCAATTTCATGGATTAGACAAGAAATATATTGTACATTACATTACATACCAGTCACAATACGGAAAGGTCTGGTTGGTTTGAAGTCCGCTGAATTAATGGGTTTGGACTGCCCACTAATTTCACCCACAGACGTGCCTGTCTCGGACATAAAGACATGGCCAAAACGCTCGCGTCCCTCACCAACGGCAACCATGCGCTGATTGTCGGCTGACCAGCTAATGTCCTTGATAGGTCCTGCAATCGGTTGGTATTCATTCTTCAGCAAATGTTCCTTATTAACTGTATCCCAAATGCGAATCTTGCCCGAAGCATCTGAGAAACGAGAAGAGAATATTTTAAGTTAACTCATATTATTCATTTATATATTATATAAAAAGCACATTTCTAATCAGTTTTCCAGTTATTACAGATAATACCATATGTACAGATAGACAAATGTATGGGTGTATTCAAAACAAGATAACATCAAAGGAAAAGCTAGATAACAGTTACTTTAATGTTTGGCTTTAGCGCTTATGATCGAAAAAAGCTGTTGGGGTATGGCTTCTAAATAACTTTGTTTCTTTTTTCTCTTAAGTTTCAATTTCTTTTGCAGGCGATAAGATAGTCGGCCATTCCATATTGACTGGTAATGTTGGATTGACAGCTGACGTGAGTCAGGGCAATAGTTGTTGATGGTTTTTTTTTAAGGTTTCTTTACAGCTGGTTGCATTGTTGAAACTTACCGCCGGATGCAATGTAGAAGCCACTGGGCGAATACTTAGCCACATTCACTGCACACGAGTGTTCCGTGTAGACATCGGCAATCGCTGGATTCTGGACAGGCGATGATGGTAATCGGAGCGTGACGAGGCAAATCAAGAAAAGCGCAAAAATAAGAAAATTCAACAAAATTAATAAATTAATATTTACAAACAAATTTGTTTGGGAGGAGAAGCAGTAGCAACAGCACCCATACCAACAGCACCAGCCGCAGCAGCAACAGAACGACATCATAATTATGTTGCGTGGGCAGTGGAACAAGAGACAGATAAAGAGAGAGTAAGAAAGAGGCAGAGTGAGAGAAATTTCTGTGTGTTTGTTTTTGTGAATATAAGCCGCGCCGGCTAGAGCAATATGTACAATATATATGCATGCATATATGACATACATACAAGTACAGATATATATGTGGCAAATAAATATAGAACAGCCGACACACACACATCCATGCAAATAGAATGATCGCTGTCAAGTGGAAAATAACGCTTGAAAATTGCAGCTGCCGCGCGCTGTCCAAAAATAAAACAATATTTGCTTTTTGGAGCAGGCGTCTCATATTTTGTGCTGTTATTCTTGCCCAATTCTTGAAGATATTAAATGTTCTTACCTCAATATTTCTAATTATCACCGAATTGCCATTGGTATACAAAAAGTTCTTGCCCTTGGGATCAGCACCCAAAACAATGGGTTGGCCACGTTGAGTGCGCGGCAGCGTTGCATAGATATTTTCTGCAAAAATTGTAAAAATTCAAAATAAATTTGAAAATCAACGTACAATGGCAACTGTCGTAAGGTAGAAAGAGAACAGGGTGCGGCCGCCGGTTGGTTAGCCGGTTTAGTATGCTTTCACCGGGTCAAGGGTTTCCCCCTGCTTCCCGCACTTAGTTTATCTAAACAACTCAGCGGCTACGCTGCGCCGATGAATATGTGAATTCCATTTATGGTCATATCAAAGTGCTTCCGCTGTTTTTACCGTTGCCGGCTGACTCATTTTCGGCGTCATTGCTGTCACCTTTTCAATACTTTTATGGACATTTTAGAAACGAATAAAACTCACTGTTTTCGTAGTCTGGTTTTTGTGGTTGCGCCATTTCTCTTGCTTTAGTGGCTTACTATTTCTTATTGGCTCTGTATATATAGCAAATTGAGTTATTTGCACAAAAACACCCGCACTAGCACTGTATGCGACCAGGGATGCCGAAAAATGTTGATGGCTTTCGTTGTCATTTAGTTTAACAGCGACAGTTTATTTAACATTTGACTGTAATGTTATTAATCGAATAAAAGTGTTGCTAATCGTATTTTAGCCTCTTGCAAATTCATGCAGTTCTTTCAATAAATTATTTCTGTTGTGAAGTGGTGAAAATAATCAGTTAACTTGCTTTTTAAAAAAAAAAACATATATATCACTTAACTTTGAATTGAGCAACCGTTGACTGTCTCTTGACAGTCTGACAGCCAGTTAAATACGTTAACATATCTGTATCAGTTCGCTAACTTAACAGTGTGACATCACAAATAAAATAAACTAAATGTTTTGTTGATTAAAGTCATTTTTAGATTCTTAAGACGAATAAACGAATCGATTTACTACGTATTATTTTTTAAAAGTATTTTCCAGCTATTTAACGATATATCTTCAAATGGTATTATTTTCAAGTATTTAGACATATACAGTTGAATATGTATTAATCGTGTAACGGCATTAAACTTTTGAGCGAAATTTCACTTTGGTTTTAGTAAACATTTTTAACGTATATTTTAGATATTTGGCGCTCGTTACTCATTTGGCACTGTTACCTAGCATTTATTTCAACAATATTCAAATGGTGTCTGCCAGTGGAATGTGCAAGGACATTTTAGTTGAGAAAATAAGACCTATAACGGCGGAAAACAAAACTAAACTATGTATGTACGAAGTACTCGATAAATATCTTAAAGTAAGAGCTGTCCTGTGAAAGTTCTCGATAAATTAACTTTGCTTACAGATGTTGAACTAAATTTAGCTGTGCATGTAAATCTTAAATCGGTTATGTTATTTGGTTATTATTATGGTTCTTTGGAAGAAGAATGATCATATTTTATTTGAATTCCAAATAAAAGGCGTTGCTCTTTAGATCTTTATCATGCAATACACAGATTGAACATCAGGAACAAACATTTTCAACACATTCAAACCAAAAATATGGGGACCAACCAAAAAGATTGATTGCGTATAGGAAGTACCAATATGCACAATTATTTTTGCTGCGTTTCATGATTAGTGGCAATCCTCCAATGAATCTACTGAATAAAAATCACGATTTACTAAATATTACATAATTTTCTTAGATAATATTTCAACAATTCAATACTTTATTAAATTGATATTAAATTAATTTTTTTAAAATTTACTTAGGATATTTATTGAAATAACAGAACGATCCGGAACTAAATTTTCAGTTTTACTTGGTTTAATGTATAAAAACGATGCTAAAAGTAAAACTTATGCTTAATCCATAGCAATTATGTAGGTTAAAGCTAAGTTAAGACTGCAAGCTCTGCAGCAGCGGGGTTAAAGCTGCCAATTCCTCGATCAATGCGGGATCCTTAACAACTTTATTTTCAATATTTTGTAGCAGTTGTTCGAATTCATCGATAGTTAATTCGTCGTCTGTTTGGGAGCCCACACAATGAACACTCTCGCCAACTAGTGTTAGAAAACATGCATATGGATATAGTATGGGTTTCTTAAATTAATGAGTTACTTCTTATACCTTTCTCTAAGCTTTCTGCCTTGCTGATAGGGTGGGATGGGATGGGAGTAAAAGATCTCTTAACACAACGCTTGACATGTCTATTTCGCATGCTCAATAAGTGGAAGAACTTCAGGCAATTGTGGCAGTTGTAGATTTGCTCTTCGCATCTGTGTTTCAGGAATCGCGACTCCAAGAGAAATTTACGATTACAGGCACTGCACTCGTATTTCTTCTCCATATGATGGCTCTGATAGTGCCGACGTAGCAGACCAAGACGTGCCCCGACGTAATCGCAGTCGCCTACAGGACATCGAAAGGACTGGCTTACATTTTCCTGGATATCAACACCATGTTTCTTCTGCAGATGCAACTCGTAGGGACTACGGTTCTTAAACACCTTGCCGCAATCAAATTCGCAACGGTATTCGCGAATTGGCAACAGCTCAAAAATATCTGGTATACAATCAGTTTGATTTCTACCGATCTTCGACATTGAGGACGATTTCCAATTACAAATGCAAAATGACTATATTGCATACATTTACATATACGTACATACATACATATGCAAACATATCTATATACTTGTCTATGCGTACGAACCGATGTACACATGATTTTTAAAAGTGTTGCCACAACAAATTTGAACGTGCTCCATTTATGAATACAATAGAGAAATTATTAATGAATTATGTAACAATATTCTACAAATACAGTTAACATTTCAACTTGGCTTTAACTCTTGGGGCAAATTTACTCAGCAAGGTCCGAAAATAAGCACTTGCCTATATTTGGTAAAATATCCCATTCAAATTGATCCTATTACTAAAATAGTGTTGTACAACTACAGAAAGTAAACAGCTACCAATGGAAGCGCTGGAAGCAATGGAAGTATATATATAAACACGCACACACATATATATATATATATTTATAGATATATATATATATATATATTTATATTACTATTGGCCATCGTGTTTCATATATATATTTGTTTAATTTGAAATGAGTTTGCTTAAATACACACATATATAATGTAATGTATATATATATATATATATATATATATATATATATATATATATATGTATATTCATATAAATATATACATATATAGGTTAACGAGTGCCTCTCGCCACGGTTTGACACTGTTCGTGGCCATCGCTTTGCTTGCACTGTCGCTCATGCACGATCGGCTTGCCGATTGTTGTTGCAAAACTCTATACAATGTAATTTAAGCACCAGCCCAGTGCGTCTTCTAGATTTTAAGCTCAGTCCAGGGAGCGCCCAACCGGTGGGTGCCCAGCTTAATTTGTTGAATTCATCTTTATACAAAAATGTGCATTATGCATCCATGTAAGATACACGGATTGAACGTGTCTGCCTTCTCGCTCTCTCTCAGCGAGGGGCAATTAACCTGTTCGAGCAGGTAAATTGTTGCCATTTTGGATTTGTATTGTTCACGTTAACCACGCCTTCCACTTCCATTTCCACTTCATAAGCTTCAATTGATGAAATAAAAAAATAAATACCTTATTAAGGGCTGATACAAGAGGACAACGAATGGTTAACTTCAACGAGATTAATGGCTGTATTTGAGTATGCTTAGAGCTAATATCTGCTTAGCGACGCGGCATATCAAATGCGTCTTCTAAATCGTTAACACTACAATTGGACGAAGGAACATTCCAAACGCTTCTTGCATCACGTGAAGCAAGACCCTTGGCTAAGGGACCACGATTCGACCTGGGTTTGCGACCACCAAGGCTGGGAAAATCTTGAGTTCCATTCAAATTGGCAGAGAAGGCCGAGTGATCAAATATCTCGTGCTTCACAGCGGAATGAAGCGAGTTAAATGAGTCGTAGGTGGTGTTTCCGCTTGACCCCGCCTTGTTAGTTATAATGGAGGTGTTTTCTGGATTAGCTACCCGGAACTTCGCCTCCTGCTTGGGGGGCATGTGCTTGCCTGGCAGAGGTTTGATAGCCAGGTCGCCGCACATATAGTCGCTAAAGAGATAACACCAACGACTAACTTTTGACTGCGCGCAGTATTTGCCCCGATCGTTATCCTCATGAAACTGAAAATATATACAAAGCTATAATTAAGGCAAAGGCGCAATATTCATCTTCTTATTCCACCTGACACGAGATTCCAGCGTGGTACTCAAAGAAATCGTTGATAAATAGGTTATCTGTGATGCTCTTGTTGATCTTTTCGCTGGGAAGATCTGCAACGTCCATAACTTCCTTCTTGAGCACATACAGCAGATATTGTATATCGTAAATGTGAACTGTAGCCAACGGTTCTTCGCTGTCGCTCTCCAGATATCGAAAACAGCCCTTGACTATGTCCATCAGCTCGGTACTCGTGAATACAACGAACGAGTTGTTGGGATTGGCATCCGAGTTACAGCTACGCAAATACTCCACAATGTTCGCATAGAGTCTGCCTATGTCCGACTCACCTAAAGCATTCGGCGGCAGCGGCAATTGATGCGTATTCATCGTGTGGTGCTTCGTCTCGCTGCCCTGTCCGAAAATAAGCTGACCTAAGAGTTCGAAACCCAGATTTGAACCTTAGCGATCGGCTGCATAGAGAGATCAGCGACAAACTCACCAGGATTGATGTGCGAGCTATACAGCGAGCACTTGCCCGACTTCAGTGAAAACTGACAAGCAGCAAACTCTGCCGGAATATAAATATCATTTGTAACCGACTTCGAAAAGTAGTTGAAGGCAACAAAAATAAACTTGGTGTTCTCCAGATCTGTAGAGGAGCAAACAGCATAATCAGGAATAGAAACGAAATATACCTCATGAGCTTACCATGCTGTTCCTTGCCATCCAATACCATTCGCTCTGTAGTGCGCTTCATTCGCATTTCACGCTCAGCTGCCTCCATCTCCTCGCGCTTCACCACGGACAACGGTTGGCCATGGCAATTAAGGCGCTCCACTTTTGAACGCGCTGTCACGTCAGCATCTTTAGCGGACACGTTGTACGGTCCTCGCTGTTGCGCATTCATATTCTACACACAATCATATTCATATATAGAGATATTAACTCTGATTTGATAGTTTGTAGTACTCACCTTCCATATATCGCCGCATTTGCTTACTGCTTGGGCCATGGTCATTTTGCGGCCTTCCGAATTCGTTTTTCTCCACTCATTGACGAACATCATAAAGCCATTGTGTTTCTTCGGTGCCATTTTAATCAGAGCTATTCAAATTAAAAAATTGGAGTGTAAACAAAATTATTATTTGACAGGCGAATGCTCTGTTGACAGTTTCCTCTACAAATAGATACGGATGTATGGATGTGTGTATGTATGTATGTACACATGTTTATGTGCATGTGTATCAACGGTTTACAGTTGTCTACTTTTTTATATGTATACACATATGCCTGCACATGCATGTCTTGAAACTTATATGCAAATATTTTGATTAATTTCAGACGATTTTGATAAATACCTTATAATTACGTCTTCTAAATTAGATTTAAACGAAATTCCAATATAATTTAATTTTTGCCAAAGACTAATAAGCAAATAAATGGATCAACGCACGCAGAACGTCAGAGTTCTCCCGACAAAATACTATATTTACACTGAGTTAAGAGATCGTGTGCAGGCACGATTGGGAGGCACGGTCACTAGTCGTGAGTGTGTGCCCGCTCCTTCCGCAGCATAAAATCACAGCTCCAACAAAACACAGAGTCAACTGTTATTCGATTATATGATATTATATGTTCATTTGAAATGAGTTTGATTGGAATTTCTGATCGAATATCTGATATATTCAATCGAAATCAGAATCAAATACCAATCGTTAAAATAGTTTACTTGTTTTTAAGTTGTAGTTCCTTTAGTGTTCATAACTTTTATGATCACGAACATTTTCTAATGTTTATAAATAAATGCATAAGCTCTGTGTGCTGTAATAATTATTTTAATCTTCGAAATCTTTTTACTGTTCGCCGAGATAATTCTTGTTTAAGAAATTTCAGTAACTGTCATCATACTTACGGTAATTTCGACAACTTTTTCTGTTAATTTTTATATGATTGTTACTAGCTTTTGAATGTAATATTGCGGCTACTATCTATATTTAACAGAATTGCTCCTCACTAAGCCGACGCAAATTAGAGTATATCGATATGGAATGATATGGAATTAACAGTGGCTTTACAGACCTTGAAGCTTTACAGCGTTAAGTTGCTCTTTATGGCGTTTACGTTACGCTTATTGCGTTAAAATAACCGAAATATGTAAAAGCTGCACCACCTGTTAATGTTACGTGTATTTAACGTAAACAAGCTCTGCTTTAGAAGCATAAACAACACCAACCACGTCGGACGTGTAGTGCGCGCAAATGCAAATTGTCAAACTAATTTTAAATAGTAGTAACATGACAAAAAAATTAAATAACATAGCTTCAAATATTGTAAATTGACGGCGTAAATTAATACGAAATAAAACGCGAATGCAAAGGTGGCTAACATCACAATAAATATGTATGCCTGATTTTGTCAGTTAAAAGTGGCCGCTTAAAGCTCGGCTTATGTAAATTTATATCTATGTATGTTGGTATTTATGTATGTACATATATACAAGTGTTGCTTGCCGGGCTGTTGTTTGTGCGGTTGAGTGTTTAGATTTCGTTGCCGGTGCATAGTTAATTTTGCACAAAGTGAAGTGTTAAAAGTTACGGGCTTTTAATTCCCTCAATAAAGCCGAAATTGAAGTGCAGAAAGCTATGGAGCGAGTGTAAACTGAAAGAAAATTTACACACACAAACATGCGCGGTGGCTCGCATACATGACGATCATTTCTTCTTCTTCTTCTTTTTGCGGGACGTGTTGCGCCTTAGCTTACCTGAGGGAAGGAGTGAGAGCGCGATAGCGTCTGCTTGTGTGAGTGCGTGTGCTAAAGCAAACTAGCGAGAGAGCGCGCAAACGAGCGAAGTCAAGCTTTTAAGTTAAAGTTCTTTAGCTTGCGTCGGCGTAGCGTTGGCATCGACATAAACATCAACAGCAGCAGCAGCAACAACAACAATATCAACAACAACAACGTCAACAGGTTAGACTTGTCTGCAGGTTAGTTGGCAGTTTTACTCTCTCTCTCTCTCTGTCTCTCTTGTTTACTTTTGCATGCATTTGCACTATATTTCTTAATCTCTCCAATTAGAATTGCTGCGACAGACCGTTGAGAATGTCTAACGCTAGCTTTTAAATGCGGTTTACTCGTCCGCAGAGCTTTTTTATACCTGGCTATTAATCAAATGAATTAGTCAAGACGGTCTTAGACCTCCTATTCGTTCTCAATGTCATTTGCTCATTCCCATTAAACCATTTTTGCTGACCCAAACAGATTTCGATCTGTTGCGGGAACTCTACGTGACGAATACTTTTGTGATATATTTGAGCATGTGAATGTACAGTAAAGCTTCCCTAAGCTCGGACTCATGTTTGAAGTTCATATAGTAACTTTTTGTTTATATATAATATTGACTTCTTATTATCTGTATATAAATTAAAAAATTAAGAAAAAAACACATTTAGAGTTGTAAGCATTTGGATTTGCGAGTGTTTGCATTAGGCAGTCTATTCTGTACACCATTCACTCGAAGCTCTGTCTAAAAATAGCAAAACTTTTGAACCTTACGCTTATTTTAGCTTTGATGTTGGAGACTTGAGACTTGATTATTATTATTAAATTATAATATATATAAATATAAATAAAATATATAAAAAAAACGTAACTCTTCAACAATTCGAAAAATATACGAATTTCAGTCGATTTTCTATAGGCTATAAAATTATATGGCAAACTATTTGGAGTTTTTTTACTTTTACTTTGCTCACCTTTTTTCTACAATTTTGCATTGAAAGTTATCATTATTTGAACAACATGAAAAAATCAACAAAACTCAACCTTTTTCTAAAATATTTCTTTAGTTTTACCTTTGTCATGAGTAGAAAGGTTTAGATAGAAAATTAATTAAATAGAAATAAGTTGAAATGCTTTTTGGATCATTTGACGAGGGAATCTACCATTCGAGTGTTCCCATTACGTTACCTTTTTCTAGGTCAACCGTTTGGATAGGTCATCCACATGTGACGTTAGCTGCGCCCAGTTGGGCCTAAATTAGCTTTTGGGTCAACTCTGGTCTGACCTTTTATCCATGATACGGAAGTACCAAGAGTAAATGAAATTCCCTCGCGTGTTTGGCCAAGATAACAGGTAGAAGACAAACTTTTCTATAGCTTTTGCCGTTGCTAAATTATAGCCTTGGATACGTAGCTTTTGGCCAAGGTTGGGTTACAATGACAATATGAGGCCACGCCCATTACAGGAGTTGGAGTTGTGCCTATGAGCTCACTCTTTGGAGCATTGTGTGTGGTTTTTCATGAAGAAATGGGCATTTCCCCTTGTCCCTTTTCCCAGTTTCATTTCGCCCTGCTCAAGTTGGCATTGCGACATTGGGCGACAACAACTTGGCTAAGTTTTATCTAATTGCTTTGCGCATTTGCTAATTTACAATTACAGTTGGAAAATTTACAGCTCTTATCACAGTGCAAATTTTCACAGCAGTTGTAAACTTTGCATTTTTGTTATCGTTGTTGTTGCTGCAGCTGCAGTTGTTGCTGCTACTGCTGCTGTTGCACCTGCCGTGACTGAAAGTAATTTAAAATGTTTGTTGTTTGTGCCTGGATGGCTGGCGCTGTATAATATAATTATTTATAAATGTTCAGTGCTTGCTGCTCCCTCTTCTTCTTTAGCCGCTTTCCCAGCTGCGAAAGCAGGAAAAACTATGCGAATGTTCAGTAACTCTTTTTGTGAAGGGCCCCTAAGGTAAAGCAGCCTTGCACCTGCGCAAAGTTATTTTCAAATACATATCAAGATAAGCCAGTTAGATATGCATAAAAACAGGCCAAAAGGTGATTGCCTCTAGGCAGTAATCGAAATTCAAGCTGCAAATAAATTTGGTTAGCAAACTATGGGCGCAAAGTTGGCTTGCCAAGTATTGATCGAGCTCGGAGGTGAACACAGCTTTAGATTTATATAAACACATTATATCTATATATGCAAAATTAAGTATATGCAAATAGATGAGCTCGAAATGTCAAGATCTAGAAAGTTTCCTAGTCTTTGTAACAGTTATCAGAGCTTAATTAAAAACTATATCTAGAAACAAGCTTTCATTATCTTAACTTTAATAATCTCTCAAGAGAATGTCCTTCGTTCCCTCAATATCTAATAAAGATTCTAAAATTAAAGATTTTTCAACGTTTTATCGACTGCCTTCCCCACTTCCATTCGCTAAGTTTGCTTGATCAATTATCACTCCAATGCCAATTGATTTTCATGTGAAATCATAGGCCAGCTGCTATAAGTCTAAGTCATGAAAACTAGAATTAAATATAATTTTATTTTGGTAGCCATATAAAGTAGAAGGATTCTTTTGCCAATGGCTTAAACGATTTTCATTGTAAGCTTTTAGTTCTGTTTCAAAAGAATACAACTATAACTTTTTTGTATGTTCTTCAGTGCTGCCCACATAATCGATATACTCATTTTCATAACTTGAATAGGGTATAGAATCTTTAAAGTGTTGGCCGTGAAGCGCGTTCTTCGGTCGATAGACGAACAAGAAAAGCAAGAAAAAGTTGAGTTCATCGTTTTTTCCGGCTACAAAAAATTTGTTTATGGGCACGTCTGAGTGTCTTATCACTGAAATTACGGTAAATATGTCACAGAGCTATTTAAGTAATATGCAAATGTAAATCAAAGAGCTCTATGGAAAATCAAGTTGAGTCTCAATGTGTGCTTGTGATACCTACTAAGCGGAATCTGCCCAGGTGGTAGAACATCAGAAAGGAGGCCTTTGGGCCAAACTAACTCGGCCAAAAGACAGCGGGGCACTCAAATTATGCCTCAGCTTTGTTTCTTTTAACAAGTTAGTGTCTTGGTGAAAAGTTGATCGACTAGAATATGCCCTGTATACTTTTTCTTTCATATATCCTTTATTTATTCATTTGATACACAAAAATAACTTTAAGCACAAAATCTAAAACTTTTACAGTTCCAACTGTAGGATACTTTTTCCGTTGTCTTTAACAGAAAATTTCCATAAATTCATGATACCCTTTTTCCACATTTTCAATGGTAACATGGAATAAAAATCATTTCGTTTTCAATGCACAATTTGTAAAAACCGGTTTAACTGTTAGACACACACACTCGCTCACAGACATGCGCTGTCGCATGCCGTTGAGGTATTTTATTTACCAAAAACTGAGTAAAAAGTAGGTGACGTTAAGCACCGTTAGCCCTGCCGCAGTTGAAGTCGACGTCGCTGTCGCGGTCGCTGTCGCAGCCTGGCCAACAACAATACAGACGAAACTGGTTACTGTTTTTGCTTTTGTTTTACTCGTTGTGTTCGCTGCGCTTCTTCCAATGAATAAAACTACGACAAAATTATCAAGACCCGAAAAAAAGAAAAAAACGAAATTTGTCTGCGCTGCATAGTGAAAGAATGCTTCAAGTCTACCACGCCCACTCACATCATACGACTTGTAAACACGCACACACACACACTCAAACTCAAGCATATGTATGCACAAAACGTTTGCGTTGAAATATTTACATAACCTGAGAGAGCGAAGAGAAGGTTAAAAAGCTTTGGTTGACTGACTAAATACTCGCAACAACAACTACAGCAGCAACAGCAGAACGCGTCACACTTGCGTGGCCAGCTTTTGTGCGAATATGAGGAGTGAAAGAGAGAGGGCAGACGAAAGCTGCGGCACGCATGCAATGTACTGTCAGCTTGGGCGTCAGCTTCAGGGCCGTATAAAATGAGAGGCGGCTACAACTTGTTGAATGCAAATTTTTGAATACGCTCTCACGATCGCGCTCTCGCTCTCGCTGCTAGCACTCTAACTCTAACTCTATCTGTAGTTGTAGTTGTACTTATAGCTGTTGCTGTCGTTCTCGCTTTGTGCAAGTTTCGTAATTAAGTGACCGGTAATTGAGTTTTGAAGCATCAGGCTCAATGCAAACATCGCTGGTGTAGCTTCTATCTGTGAGCATATTAGCTTTATTTGCTGCGTTCTCTGCTTTATAATTGATATTTATGCAGCTATTTAAGTACGCTGCGAAAAGAGTAGTGGAGCGTCAGGCGAGGCGGAGAGATGTGAAATGTAGCTGTGCATTAAACAGGCTGCGGTTCAGCGATTCTTCTCTTATACAATTTTTTAGCTTTTGGTTCGTTTATTGTTCTCCTCTATTTGGGAAAATGTAGAAAGCTTTTGACGTTCAGTTTGAAACTATGCGGAACAATAAAAACAAATTGAAATTGATTTGCAGACAGGAAATTAGTTGAGTTCTATAAAAGTAAATGCATTGCCTACTGAGGTGAATCATTAAATTTCACTACAAATATAAATAAATATGTGTATGCAACTGTTTGATTTAACAAAAAAAGGTAGTTTTCATAGTAATTGCAATCAAATAATATAATTAACTGAATAAATAATGTCTTAGTATTGTCAATTTTGAAGCCCTTATCAAATCGTATCACGCCTTGGCGGAACTAATTACAGAGCCAAATTGTTAAACTATTGGGGAAACAATTGAATTGCATACCAATTAGTCAAATAGTTTAACTATTAAGGCCCCAAGACTTACTTAAAACTGACTGCAAGATACTCATCATGCGGTTGACTGCAATTACACACATTAACCTTAGTGGTTAAGTGCAGCTGAATAGGAACAATATAGATATATTTCGCCGTAAAAATAATATATAATATATATATAATAAAACATTTAATATCAACAATTTGTATGCAGTTGTTGAACGACAACAGTGTGTATAGCTATGAGGACTGGGATTGGCACAGCGCAAATGTCATCAAGTTGGAAACTCTAGAAATTGCGTGAATCACGACAGACAGAGGTAAACGCAAGAAATCGTGACAACGGGAAAAGGCGGGAGAAAACAGCAAAAGCAAAAACTAATAGAAATAAAAAGCAGTCATGAAATTTATATATTTATTTATGAATCCTAATATTCAAATCAGAAGAGATA